CATAGGTGTCCTTTTGATCGGTTACTTTGGTTGAACAAAAAATCGGACCCTGGTAGACCCACTGGTTGAAGCATCTAGGGCCATGTATTTTCCCCGAACACGTATGCTGGGGACAGTTCCCGAAAACGGCGTGTTGTTATAGCAAAACACGCAGCAATTGTGTCCTCGGGTTTTTTGTTTGACCTCGTCAACCGAGGTTTTCCTCTCCTTTTGCCATTCAGATGTGGCTTACGTTTTTTGCTTGCCTTTGTCCTTTCCCCGCTGTTTCCGCTTTTACTCACTCAGTAGGGTGTGCAATTTTTCGGGAATCCCCGAAATGGTGTGTTTTCCTTTTGGTTCTCCTTTAAACAGTGGGACCGGTTTTCCACAAAGCCGTTTTTGTCCCATACCAGCATATCCATTTAGAGTGAGGTCCCTTTTTGTCCCCGAAGAAAGGGTACCCCCCCCCAAAACAAAGCATGACTGTTGTTGGGAAACATTTTGCATTTTGGCTTATTGTGGTTTAGTGGGAAATCCCCACTTAACTGCTAACATTTAGACTTTGCTCGCCTTCCAACGTCAACCAACAAAAGGCGCATTCCCAGCCAGACGTCGTCGCTGGCAACGATGCGACGGCCAGGGGCACCTCGAAGCAACGCCTGCTGCTGGCGCGGAGCATCGGCAACTTGGAGCTTCGGCACGCGCTCAGCGCGGCCGGGGGGCCCGGGCAAGGCTCACTCTCTGAGAGCCGACTTGGACCACTTTTTGGGCATAGGCGTCCTTTTGATCGGTTAGTTTGGTTAAAAAAGGGCAAGGGGTAGTTTTACAAGGGCAAGGGCAAGCTTAGTTTGGTTAGTGTTGGCAACTTTTTGGGCATAGGGGTTCCTTTTGATCGGTTAGTTTGGTTGAAAATAGATGGGTCCCACTGGTTTAGATTAGATGGGTTTTGTTCCATTTACCACCTATTTTTCCAAAAGGCCACCTATGTTTTTGGGCTTTGGAGCCCACCCGCGGTAAGATCAGCCTTGAAGGTCCCTTGGACTTTAGTCAGTCACTTTTTGGGTTTTGACCATGGCAAACCAAAAGTCTTTGGGCTTGTTGTGTTGGCCAGAAATCAGGAAGTGATAAGGATTGAGATCTCAAAATGGTTGGACTTTGGTCGGGGACCAACAGCTTGCTGGTGCGATAGGTGGGGAGTGACAACGAGCCCGGTTTTTGGGGGAATGAACCGTTTGAGGATGGATGGTTTATAGGGGTCATTCCATTTGTCATTCCCTGCTGAGAACCAGCAAGAAAAGGACACCAATCATTTTAGGCTCCGCTACTTTGAGAAGCACCCATCTGAAAAAAGTTACAGGAGGAGACCTCGGAGTGAAACGAGATGAAGGTCTTGCGGCATTCTAGGGGAAGCTTCCACATTCTTTCCAGGGACCCTTCTTTGCAAGAAACAACCAAAAGCCAGGGCAAACAACTGGTCTTTGAAAAGAACGATGGTTGAAAAGAATGGGGAATCAACTCGAGGCATTCCTGCTTCACCGATCCGAAGGCGATTCCTTTTTTTGTTCTTCCCCTTCGGCAGGGTCGAAGGCGGGCTCTGGAACCTCTATTCATGCTTCATGCAACCATTCAGAAAGTAGGGCCTTCCTTGAGATATCTGCGAAGACCATTGCGAGATGTTTGGATGAAACAATCTCACACAGGTCCCGAAGGTTGCTTTTAGACGGTCTGCAAGGACCGCCCCTCCCTATTAAACCCTCCATGGACGGGTTTGTCACGTGCCTCGAATGACCTGTGGAATCCGCTTGTTTCCCATACCACCAAATAAATACAATGTTGAAGATGTCACTTTGCTCGGCCCAGGACCTTTGACAGCTACCTTGTGTGTGTGTGTGTGTGTGTGTTACCAAATATGGTTGCCATACTATAGCAACCCAAAGACCTGTTTTATAGCAACCCAAAGACCTGTTCTTGTAGGTTGAATACAAATGTCGTTGCGAGAATCTACTGTCAACCCAAAGACCCCTGGTTTTTGCAGGTTCCACATATGTCATCGCTCCCTAAAAAGCCAAACCCGGTTTCCCCGGTTCTGTCATTTTGAGGCTTGGGTTTTGCCCGGTATCTGGTTGACCAGTTTGGGGATTTCAGGGCCCAGAAGGTCAGCCGAGATTCTTTTTCCCAGAGATTCCTGATCCATATCAAGATATCAAGCACGGCTCCGTGGGCATGTCATGGGAAAGATCCTGAGATGAAGTAAAACGCAAGACGTCGAGGGTCAGAGAGGTTGGGTATCCCTATCTCTCCCTGCCCGAAGACTGCAATCACCATGTCAGTTTGTGGCTATCGGATCCCGTAGCCGTTGTTCTTGAGATGTTTGCTGAAGGTGTTGGTGCATTTTCAAGCACCCCCATCAACAGCTTTTTCAAATGTTCAAAGCTCGACTTGCTGTTAAACCAGCACCGCTTACGGGGGCAGAGATGGGGGAAAGAAGCAGCCCTTGGAGCTTGCTGGTTAGGCAAATGCTGAGGTAGAATTGCGGGTTTTGGTGTGGGCAGTGTCTTCATTTTAGTTTCGTGCCTTCAAGTGTTCCACCTCGAATCCCGTTTTAAGGAGCAGGGATGGGGAGGGATCACCTACCCACTCTTTCATACAGCTCACAAAGGGCACCAGAGCAACTGAGCCTTGAAAAGAATCTCCCTCTTTGGGGAACTCACCGATTCGGGGGTAAAACGAGCTGTGATATCGGTCCGGTCCTTTGAACGGATCCCTCATGTCTCTCATGTTTAAATGCAGAAATTGCAGAAAGATGACTAAGCTTCAAGCGTGAGCTTCCCAGGATCAACTTCACATCCTGGTAATGGGAACCCGGATTAATGAACCCGTCCGATTCATAGGGGGATGTCAACAACAGCTTTATCTGGGGTCAACATTACCAACGATTCCGGACCAAGCGGGAGGTGAAAATCGCCAAGCACCGCCAAAAAGATGGTGACCACCGCCAAAACTGGTTGGGCCCACAAAAAAAAAGGAACAGCTGCGGAAGGTGAAAACCGCCGCGGCAGAAAGCGGCTTTGACCTGGAGAAGGCTGGGGCGGACTCAGAGCAACTGGGATCCTGGGACTGGCTGGCTCGCTGATTGGTTTGGTTTGGGTGGGTGGTTGGGTGGTCGGTCGGTCGGTCGGTTGTGGTTGGTTGGTTTGATTGGTTGACTTCTTGATTGAATTCTCTCTTGACATTTCAGAGTTTGCGGATTGCTGAGGAACCAGAATCAAGCATTGTGTTGATGGGAGAAGCTGAGGTTACCCCAAAGACAAATAGCCTTCCGTTTTTGCTATTTGATGATGTATTTTGTTGTTCGAGCGTCGTTTTAGTGTCTTTTCTTTGTTGTTCCCGCTTCCCTCGAGTGGTGTTGCATGTTTCGAGCGCATTCCATACGTCTAGCTTTGCGTGATGCCATTTCCAGCTCAATTCCCACAGATTGCCAGCATATATCAAGCTTGGATTAGATTTGTTTGGTGGCTTGGGGTCTCAGAGGCTTACGAACGGAATTGACAGCAGCAGAAGCAACTTGGATCTGCTGATTTCGATGTGACGCGCGACGTGAGGCACCCCGTTGTCTCGCCAGCATCAAGCCATTGAATTCCAACGAAGCTGTTTTGAGCAACAAGTGTTGCTAGGTTTTGTTTCTGTGGTTCAGAGAATATGAACGAGCCACGGCCTGGGGACACTGCCCTCTGAAAACTAGTTGCTTTTGAGGCTCCACACAAAGTGGCCGTTTCCAAGTGATCTTCAAATTGCTTTTTTCCAAAGACATCCTGCGATGGGGCTGTCTCTCTCTTTTGCACGGAAGTCATCGCCTACGGCGTTTTGCCTTTTTTTGCTTGGGCTGCTACCCTCCCTTCTCCACGAACAGGGAATCTATTTGCGGCTTTGGGGAAAAGTATCTTCCCGGAACCCCCAGGTGGTGGTTCAGAAAGATGTACCTCCGATTCAAGGGTTGTGGTGCCCAATGCCATCCTTTGAGCCCGGGCCTGGAAGAGCAAGAGACTCCAAGTTGGAGCGACGCGTTGCCGGTCAGATTCCACAAAGCGGGTAAAGTCGTCTGAAGACTTTAGGGGTTGGACTTTTGTGATATGGGTCTGTTTTTTTTTGAAGGTCCCCCTTTTTGTCGTTTCAAGGGGAAAACACAAATAAAATCAGCTGTTTTGAGACACACCCAATTTTGCTTTGCTTTGCTTTGCTTTGCCTTGCTTTACTTACTTTGCTTGCTTTCTTGCTTTCTTGCTTCCTTGCTTTCTTGCTTCCTTGCTTCCTTGCTTCCTTGCTTCCTTGCTTGTTTGCTTGCTTGCCTGCCTGCTTGCGTGCTTGCGTGCTTGCGTGCTTGCGTGCTTGCGTGCTTGCTTGTGCTTGCTTATTGCGCCCAGTCAGCCTATGCAGAGTATTCCGAGTGCCATGGATCAAAGGAGAGATTTGGACACGGCCGCACTGGGCGGATTGCTGCCCTTGACAACACAACGCTGCCAGATCCATACTCAGCCTGAGCAAGCTGTCAAATCTGTGCTTCAGCCAAACTCTCTTCCGAACCCTTTACACGTCCTTGTGCACTGTGCACTGAAGGAGATCCGTATTGTAAGCAGGGTTGCTCCGAGCTTCAAGATACCCACACCACAAGGATACAACATGGGTGAACGGTTTCCTTTAGTATCGGGGCCCAAATGTCCAACCGCATTTTGAATCGCCCATTTTGCCGAGCGCTGCAGGTGCTGGCTGGCGGTGTGTTGTCTCGAAACAGCAACTCCTCACCAAAACAAAAGGAGAGCATGTTTTCCTCCAAACATAGTACTCTGAAGTAGACACGCCCAGGTTGCGGCCCAACCCAAAACGACGCCTTCTCGTGCTTAGAATCCATGTTGAGCCCAGAGAAGCGCGGGTGAACCACAGCAAATTGAGCAGTCGCACATGGTGAAACCATATCTAAAGACACGAATAGAACACAAGGACAACAAGCAAAAGACAATTAGAGCAAAGTCCTGGCTTGGACTCCCTTTGCGTGTCGCTTAGCCATGGATACGGGCGAGGGGCCCGCGCTGCCCGCGGTGTACGCGGTGCCCTTGTTGCCGATGAGCGGCAGCGTGGCGACGGAGAGCCCGGAGCCGGATCTGCGCCTTAAGCCGGGGTGAAGCTGGGAAGGGGGAGCGTTTTGTTGTTGTTGTTGTTTGGCATGGAGGGGAAGCCCAAAGTTCTAGGGTTGATTCCACATTCTTTTCAACCATCGTTCTTTTAGAAAGCCGGCTGTTTCCCCAGGGTTTTTGGTGGTTTCCTGAAAAGAAGGACCCCTGGAAAAGTGCCAAGGGCTCATTTAAGGATGCTGCAACCCCCAAAAGGTTTCCTGTGGCAAGCTTGGGGGGCAGGCGGGGGAGGAGAAGCCACACGGAAATGAAAAGGGCCCATTTCAGCATGACCCCGGCAAGAAAGCCCCCCAATCCCAAGTGGGGCGTGTAGCGACTACCAAGGCTTATTAGGGCTAGTATGGATTCTTTTGGGTGCCTCTGTTGGGGTCCCCTCTTAAAGGGCTCTTGGGGGGGTCCCTGACAACCACGGGAGTCACTCGTTTCACCGGTCACGGGGAAGCTGGAGATGTGCCGAACGCTGCGGAGGTCCGGCCCCTTTGGCACGCCCGGGAGGCGCGAGGGTTTTTTGTTTGTTTGTTTGAAGGGTGAGGCGTTTCAGAGGGCGAGCGGTCGCCGGGTTCAGGAATTTGTGATGGAGAAATCCATTTAGGCCCCTTGGGCGCACACTGCTGTTTTTTTGTTGAAAACGTTGTGTCTTTCCGCGTTTTACGGGTTGGAATCCGTCGGGCCTAAAATCAATTTCCCCAGGTAATTTCTCAAGACTTGCACCTGATAGTAATGAGGTGCTCTGTCGTGCAGGTATTGCAGTCCACAAGCAGCGTGAACTGTCAACTTCTGACAATTTGTGGTCCTGTTTTGTGTTTCTTACTCCCTGAGTTTCTGGACTTAGTTCTCTTTGGGCCCCATTTTTAGTGTCAAACAAGGATGACTTTCTTGGCCAACCCACTGGATCGGATGTGAGGCGGGAACGAAACAAATCAGGCGGCGCAGCGCCGTGGAGCACGTGTGCAGCTGGCTGCAGTCGCTGCTGGGCTTCCAGTCGGACTCTATGAGGAACCAGGCGGAGCACGTGGAGGCGGGCAGTGAAGCGAAGTTGGTTTCGGGGTGGGGGGGGGGGGGGGTGGGGGGATCCACCAAAAGAGCGCAGCGGTCTTCCTTTTGGTTTCCCTTAAAGACGTAGCCCAAAATCGGCACACTGGGGTTGAGGCTACCATTTGGGTTGGTTCGGGAAGTCAAAGGAAACAACCTACGGGGTGCTTGAGACAAACACCAAGGGAGTTCGCTTTCTGTAACGGGAACCCCAATGCACGATTTATTTTTTGTGTTGTGTGTGTGTTCCCTTCTAATAGGGGCTCCTCCCTTTTGGAGGGGAACACCCCCCTATGAATAGGACGGGCTTAATCCGGAGTTAATCCAACCTATGGATGGACTCTTGTCCACTTTGCGGTTGGTAGGTGGCTTGTCCCGGTATCATCCGGGGAACTCAGGGAATGGTTTTACCCTAGGGAAATGTATGCCGCTTTCTGTGACAAGGAATTTCATGAGTGATAAAGTGGTGATTGTAATGACCCATGGTATCACAGCATTTTTGCCACAACCATGCAGGAGTCAGAGCAGGGGGATTTGGGCACAAGGTGTGACCAGCTCTCCTTTACTTGGAATCGATACGTGGCTCAAAATTCAAGAGCCGGGGTTACGCAGTGCATTACGCAGGTTTGAGTCTTTGGTTCCATTTTGGTCATGTCTTTGAGCCACTGCCGTATTTCCAATTTGCGAAGCATAGATTTGTAAGCATAATTTTGGCATGGTGGTTGGTGGCTGTTTGAAGTTCGTTGTGAGGTCGTTGGGAGCCCCCGAAGTTTCCGAGAAGCAGAGGGCATTCAATGTTGCCGTGTGTGCTGGCGACAAAGGTGAATAAAGCAACGGAATATCTACATTAGTAATACACACGTGTCACATGTGTGTGGGTACATATATATATATATATCGTCTAATCCACTTACCTTGTTTTCTTTGATATGATTTATACACTATTTCTGCGTGATTTGCAGGTGAAGGCCCTCACATCCGGGGAAGCCATAGCTTCCATCTGCTGAAAATAATATGTTTCCCCCCTTGTTGGCTTTGAAGAGAATCTATCACCCAGCTGGATGTTCATTTGTTTTTCTTTTCCAGGGGGGCGAAGAAGCACGTGGAAGACCAAGGGTATTCTTTTCGGGAAAGGATCGCGCGACGCTGTGCCCTTTGTCCCAAGGCAGCGAGTCGTTTAAAGGCACACGCTGCGGACCAGCATTCGATTGGGGTTGATTGGGACGCAAGTGAAGGCTTCAGACGACCTGGGTCACAAGGCATGTACACTGACATTATAGACATGATCTGACGTTACAATACATTGGAGTTTCTCTTTTTGGGGGGAGCCCCCTTTCGGTACAAGGGAAACCAATGGAAACCAAGGATGTTAGGATACGAGAAGCGTCCATCTCACAAATCTCAAGCGATTAGAAGCAGCGCCGATTCAGCCGCCGGCGCAGGCACTGTGGGAGTCCTTCCTGCGACGCTATGACGAGCCCAGCCTGGCCCTTGAGGCAGGAGACCGGCTCGTGTGGATGGGTTTTCCCTTTTGGCTTCCCACCACCAAAATAATGGGTGCCAAGCAAAAAGGAGCTCCCAAGTGTGAAGCAACTGACTTTTTTGTGGCTTATGTGCAGATTTGGGCCATGAATACACGTAAACTTGCTACCAACCTCTTGATTTACCAAAGGATATTGCGTTTCTTGGTCGTCAACTGTATCTGAGCACGGGTTGTTCATGCGGCTTTTCCGGCTCTCCCGCGTTGGTCTGTGGATATTCTCTCCGGTTCTTTTCGGTGTTTTGAAGCCGTGAACGTGTTTCGGGGGCTGCGCTACTCGTCTCTCAGGTGCTGGCCAGCCAGCTGCTGAAGAACGCCCGGAAGTGGCGGCAACAGGTGTGGCTTCCTTTCCTGGCGCCCTTGCAGCCCCAGCCGCAGGCTCGACGTGCTCTCGCGTTCGCGCGAGTTTTTTTTCTTGTTTTTCTTTTTTCTCCGGTGGCTCTTGGTGGGGGTTGGCGAGTCAAGGGTCGTTTTTTGTTCTTTTTTTTCCTCCTTTTTGTTCTTCCTTTTTTTTCCGGGAGCTGAGGCGATAATTTGGTTGAGTTGGAAAAAAAGGACTGGAGTGGTGTGAAAACTGCGAGCCATTTGGGGTGGGGATTCGGACCCCAAAGGCTTCGGTCTCCTGGAAACAACATGTTGGGATGTTGTTTTTTTTGTCGGGAAGCGAGGAATTGAGACCCCGTTCGTTGCAGCAATCGAAATAGGTTGCCACTCGAACTTCCTGCCGAGTTCGGAGTGATAGAACGAAGGGCCTGGAACAAGCTCCCACTTCAGGAAAAGTGCAGGAGGGCGAGCAATTTTGGAGGGTATCAACTTGGCTTTTCGCGGCCCCATGAGTTGCCAGGGGTGTGCTCAAGGAAACACAAGTTTTTGATGAGCCTTCATCCCAAGCCGCACACATATTCTGTAAGGAGCTTTTGCACCACCCCTGAAGTCGGGTCTCGCCCAACGGACAGGTCAAGGATCCTCTGCGAGACGTCTGCTTGCCGCTGGGCAGCCTCGAGGTTTCGGTAAGGCTCAGGCGTGAAGGGTCGAAGCGGTGCCACGCAAGGTCAATCGCAGGTGATTGTTTAATTCCCAACGCTCAAATTTGTGATTTTGGTAAAACGAGGGCTTGTTCACCGGTATTTGTAAAAGGGGAACAAAGTGCATTATGTTTGTTCTTACACAGTTGAGAAATGTATCACGCGTACCCAAAGCTATTATCCAATAGAATCTATACAAAGCAGTTGCGGCTGCCCTCTTGATACTTTACAAGTTTTTTGGGGTAATCTCCTTGAATACATGATTTTCATTTTGACTCTGTTGTTTGCCAGCCAGCCGCAGATTTGATTGCTTTCAGAACATTGGATGACTCAGGCTCACCAAGTTGTGCCTGGAAAGCTGTGAGGGCTGACACCCAGCCTGGAAAGGTAACATACGGGGTACACATGGGGTTAGGACGCCGCCTGAACAGCGGCCTGAAAAGAGACCAAAGCTTGAGAAATCTATTTCCTCTGAGACCCGGACAAAAACCCTCTCGTTGAGACGCCACCACTAACATGGAAGCTCCTGGAAGGCCTCTGGAACCAAGTCTTCCAAAGTCCTCGCCTCTGAGGAGTCGCCGGGTAGGATCCAACCCCTCGAACCCTGGGCTCCCTCGCCTGGGTCCAGAAGTTCGGGTCGAAGTGGAACTCGAGGTATTGGCTGATCTGGGGCGAGCTGGGGAACCTCCGCTTCTGCCCCGAGCTGCGCCCCGACGGCTGGCTCGCCGGTCTTTTTCTTGTTCTGTTCTTTTTCTTGGGGGGGTCTGGGAGGCCGTGGTGGCTTTTTAGGGTACCCTTCAGTAGCGTCAGTTTCCTCTTGGAGGGACCCCCTATCAGGGTATCCCCTTTTTGTTTTAAAGGGAAGCCGACAGGAAACCAGCTTTGTAATGCCGTGCCATGCTCCGCCAGGCTTTTTTGCGAGGCTTTTGCTGCATTTTGGGCATTTCTATTTTTTCCCGGCCTTTTGCAAGTTCTATGAGAAAATGTGGCCGGCGACCTTTCGTTCATCTCAAGGGTGTTCGCCTGCTTCCTTCGCTGCTCTGCCGCTCTTTCGTCTTGAGATGTGCTGGGATGCTTGCCTTTTTTAGGATATTTTTCCACGCGCTAAATGGAGAACAGCTGGACAGCCACATGGATTCTTTGAGGTCCGCCCGATTTTTTCCCATACCATGTGTCAATGGGATTGTGTCCAAAAAGCTGGGGCCAGGGTGCAAGTTTGCCAGAGAAACATGTCCTTCATTGAACCAACATGGATGGCTCAGAAATAATTGCTCGTCTGTTTTTTTTGGGATTCCCCCCAAATGGTGGTTTTCCTTTTGGCGTTCCTTTAAAGCCACCAACACAAGGGCAACCAACTCAAAGAAAAGAAGCCGAGCCAGCCATCGGGTCCCCCAAACGGTTTTTTCCAACCGGGCCTCGGCTTCCGAGGGCTTTCTCCGTAGGCTATGGCCTCTATGAATAGATCGCATGCCTTCTGTACGCGGTTGGGGGGGGACCATACAGGAGACAACGAATGTGGGGTTAAATTGGAGGTAAATCGGTGGTAAAGAGTTACTGCTGCAGGCAAGGCTTCATGTATATGTATAGGGTTTTCTCTCGTATAAGGGGAGCGGAACAAAATAACCGGCCAACATGGAACACACCAGGGGCCGGAGTATTTTCTGCCACACTGGCCGTGTGAGGCTGAGGAGTTGGGAGAAGAGTTGATCTTTTTGTGCAGCTGCCACTTTTCCTGCTCGAGGGGAACCCTCTCTGACTCAAAATCGACTTTCAGTGCGGTTGAATGGGGAATCTGCTACATGGAGTCTGGGCATCTCAGAGTAGAAGCATCAGATTGTCATGCTTAGTTGGGAATCAATCCCTTTGGCATCACAGAAAAGGTATACAAGTTTCGCGCGCATGAAGGATTGCCCGCACTGCAGCTACCCACTTTCAGCCCCCCGCCCCCGCCCCGCGAAGTTGACATTGTTTGGAGGATATAACCCCCGCAGGCAACATGGGAGGAAGAGCAACCGCCAGGTAAGACGCCGCTACAGAGTACCTTCTTGGGGAATCCCCACTAGAAGGGGGTGTGATATGTTTAATAAGTATGGTCCTCCTCTCCGCAATCCTGAAAAGGGTGCCCTCAAAGAAGACACCCATTTGGTTGCGGACCCAAAACCCTAAAAATCCCTAAACCCTTCCGTCACCTCCAACAGTGTGGAATCTCAAACTCAAACGCAGATCGAGTTCAGGCATTTCCGTACCCTTCCCAGAACACGTTTCATGAGGGTAGTACTAGATGGCAAGTTTGGGCATATGGGTGCGTCCTTTTTTGAGGGCACCCCTTTTGGTTGGTTGTTACGGTAAACCAAAAGGAATGGCACCATTTTTATGGGTTTCCCTACAGAAAGACGCCCGTTTTTGGGCATGCACCAGAGAGGTCAATGGAGATTGTGATGGGCCCATGATGCATGAGTGCTGGAAGTCCACTATCGATGCTCAAATCCACCCCTACAGGTTAGTGGACATAGCCTGTCAACCATTTTGGATGTGTTTTTTCGTTTCCTCGGGTGAATTCCATGTTCCCAGCAAAAGCCACTTTGCCGTTCAGAAGGGTCCCGGTTTGGGCCATCTTTCCTTTCAAAGGCACCCGGGTCCCGAACGTCAGGTTTCCAGTATCCGCAAACCACCCCACGCTAAATTGGGGGGGTATATACTTGATATAGTGGTTATATAGTGGCTCTATATTCCATTAAACCCCTGAGGGGAAACCATCTTAGGCTTCAAATAGACTAGACCATAAATTGAGGGTACATACTATATAGCGGCTGTATATCCCATTAATTCCCTGGGGGTGTTTTGGGGGGCTGGAAATTAGACTTCAAATGAGCCACAATCAAAACCCAGGTAAGTGAAGGTCAGACATGGACAATCCCAACCATAAATAGCTGCGGATATCCGCCTTCTTAGTTCTTGAAGCATGGTTCTGGGTCGACCATTTTAATACCGGGTTTTGATTGTGACTCACTTGGCCATGATTCAAACTCCCGTACCCCCAATGAACATCTCAATCCAACCACCAAAATAGGTTCTAAAATGGGTAGTGAATTCACCTACCCCAAAATGGTAACATTAATTTTGACCCATTAGGTTGATTTAATAGATCAGGGCCATCTATTTTCCCAAAAGCGACGCCTATGTTTGGGGGTGGAAATCTTAGACTCCAAATATATTTTTCCCGCTCGGAGGATCTGCTTCGTCTTCGCGGCCGCCTCCGAGCTCTGCGATAGCGACGCGGAGTGCCGCGGCTGGGCCAACCGCGAAGGGGCCTTCCTCGAGGAGGCCGAAGCGAGTCCGCGTCGCCGCATCAAAACGATGTCTTCCATTTGGGCGGTTTCTTCCGTAGGGACCCAAGAAAAAATATCTAGGGCTGGTGAAGGATTGAACTTATTTTCGAACCTGTTGGTTTGAAGAGACTCTATCTGAAATGAGTATGTCTTTCATTTCCAACCTGTTGGTTTTGAAGGGCATCTATCACCACCGCAAACAAGTTCTTATTTTTCCCATTGGCTTAAGCAAATGGAATACTTGTTTTTGGTCTGTGTGCGTTTCCTTCAGGGTATGTGTTCTGGGGTGGTGTTAAAGGGAAACAAGGAAAACCAGAGGTTTGGGGGTTCGCCAATTTTGAGATGCCCGTTCGGGGTCGAGTAAATGGGAAGCAGAATCTGGTGAAATTTTCGGTGTACCCCAGATGTGGACCAAGAAATGGGTGTTTGTTTTGTTAGCCCTTGAATCTTGGCTGAAAGGAAACCAAAACGAAAACCACTTTCCCCCGTTTCCCCTTCGGCAGCACAAGCCTAAGGTCATCCAAGAATAGAAGGGAGCCCATGGTTGGAAGCATGAACAGGGTCCCTCAAAGCCTACCAGCTGGGGATAGTTGAAAGCAACAAAAACACCCCCCAACCACCCCCTGCGCATCAGGTTGTTGGAGGTCCTTTCGTGGGAACTTGGGTTTTAGGCTGCCGGCTTCTGCTGGAAGGGAATCTCATTGAAGTGACAAGTTGCAGAATCAACCACGGAATCACGGGAGTGGTTTCTCACAGTGCCCTTGGTCACTTTTTCCGACGATCTAAAATCGAAACCCAGCTTCCCTCTTTCCGTGGGGGGGGGGATTCCGCCACTGCAAGAATGTCAACTAAATACAGGGTGCACTTTGCTGAGCAACATGCCGAGTTCTAGCTCGTTAAGGGCACTTTAAGCCTGTCATTTGCTCTGGTTCCAAGCCACAAGATTGTAGGCAGCCCATGGACAATGGGGCCTTTTTTTTTAAACCAGATGGCTTCATAGCGTGCAATGATATGTGGAAGCACTGCCCCTTGGTCTGAAGCAGAGAAAACTGGGGGTAATAGCATATTGAACCTCTCCAAACCGTGGGCTGAAAATGTCTTTACCTTTCAATTGTGTGAGCCATTCTTGCCGGGATTTGTTCCACCAACTTTATTTCCCCACTATCTTGCAGCAAGCAGGGGAACAAGCAAGCAAGCAAGCAAGCAAGCAAGCAAGCAAGCAAGCAAGCAAGCAAGCAAGCAAGCAAGCAAGCAAGCAAGCAAGCAAGCAAGCAAGCAAGCAAGCAAGCAAGCAAGCAAGCAAGCAAGCAAGCAAGCAAGCAAGCAAGCAAGCAAGCAAGCAAGCAAGCAAGCAAGCAAGCAAGCAAGCAAGCAAGCAAGCAAGCAAGCAAGCAAGCAAGCATACACCAATTCCAAACCATCCATAAACCACCCTAATCCAACCCCAAATTAAACCAAGCCGGCTTTGACAAGCTTAAGACATCCTTAAAGCAAGCGTAGCCCCACTCTGACCCCACCCTAAACCCACCCCAACCAACCGTAAGCCGAACGTAAACCAACCTTACACCCACCCCCACCCCACCCTAAACCGACACCAAACCCAACCCTAAACAAACCGTAAATCGGCACTAAGCCAACTTTAAACCCACCCTACCCCCACCCCAACCCCACTCTAAAGCTACCGTAGCCAATTCCAAACCGCCCGAAACCGACCCGAAGCCAACCCTGAACCCACCCCAAACCAACCCCAAACCCACCCTAAACCAACCCTAAACCAACCCTAAACCCACCCCAAGCCAACCCGACCTTATACCAACACTAAAGCAACTCTAGGACAAGACCAAAGCTACCCTAAACCACCCTAAAGCAACCCTAGACTAAAACTACCTTTGACAGAATCCCCATTAGGCTAGAGCACAAGTCCTCGGCAAGAGACGCCACCTTTTAATTGGCGCAGCCAGGCTTATTTGTTATTCCTTTTATAGAAGAATGTTTCTCCCGCTCACTCCCCGGCCCCGGTGGCCATGGGGGAAAGAAGACTAGTACTCTTTTCCGGTAATGTCGACCGCAGATGATTCAGAAAACATGTTGGAGGGACCACTGATTTTCATAAGTTTTTCGGGGTCAACATTAGTCCCACTTCCTGAGTGGCCAGCAACTGTTCATTTACCACCAAAATGGTCTCCCAAAAAGTGACTAACGTCGGGAACTTTTGCAGGGGTCAGTTTGACCAACCCAGTTTGCAAAAAAAACCCGGTCTCCCCAAAGTTTTTCAACATGAAGCGACGTTTTTCCTGCTAGTCTAGCGGTGAGTGCGTTTCCCGATCCCCGCCGGTTGAAGCAGCGGATCGGAGATGGGTATTCAGGTCAGCTTCGTTTCGCAGCTTGTACGGAGGGCATTTTTTGGGATTATTGGTTTGTTTGTTTTAAGGATTCTTTTGTTTTTCAGGATCGGTGGCTTTTCGGCTTCTTGGTTTTTGTGGCATTTACGTGAGTTTATTTGGCTTTTGTGGCTTTTCATTTCGCATCCCCTGGATTCACAGTTCCTCTGTCTGGCTTTTGCGGCTTTTTGTTGGGTTTGCACGTGGGTCGTGTCTCAATGTGGGTTCGTCCTTTTTTCAAGGGTACTTTTGTTCCGGGGCAGCGAACTGCGGTCTATCCCATCAGCCCCATTTTTTCCCATGCCGTCCAGCTTTTTACCCCAGGCTTCCTCGGCCTCGCGTTCGGCAGGTGGTGATGCCAATCTACACAGTGATGGTCCACGAGACCTTTGAGGTCACCGGTAGTCGCCCCAGCCGCTCGATGCATGCGAGCTACAGGTCCCAAAGAGCGGCCGTTTAAAAAGCCCTGAGGCAGGGGATCATTTTTTGTGGAAACAGGGGGAGCCCATGAAACGCCATAAAAAAAAGAGAAGAACTATTAGTTTTCTGTGTGTTTTTTTTGGGGGGGGGAGGGGTGCGTGGCGACTCCCTGCTTCACCTCCCGCCCTTCTTTTCGCGCCTCCGCGTGAGAACATCTGAGGCTTCCGCTTCGGCAAGTCCCCGGCGCCGGCGCGGGCCTGCAACTACGACGATTGGAACGAGCCCCGCGGTGGCCAAAAAGCGATTTGTGAAGACATGGCTTGTGAACATGTATCCTCAAAAGAAAGATCTCCCCAGCTACCCTCAACTAACATCGGAACCTCACGTCCGGGGTCCTTTTAAAAGGACATGTGTCTTCCAGGACTTCGCGCGAACGTCAGGTTCCCTGTGCATTGGGCGGATACGTCAGAGCTGAGCTTCTGGTTGCCTGTGAGCTGCTCGTTCTGCAGTGCTCTGAGGCTCTTTTGGGATCCTCGACGTCTCCGGAGGGCGCTGAAGATGAAGCCGCTCGGGCTTCCAGAGTCCCTTTTAAAACCCACTTGGCTGTGGCTCAACAACATGTACCAAAAAATGGAACCCTTGGCAAATGGAACCAAAGACTAAAGCCTGCGAAACCCTAGCTTGTTAATTTTGAGCCCCACCCACTTGGTGGGGGGGTCTGTGAAAAAAACCAACGACTTACTTCCTGAGTTCCGTTTCGGACGTTAGGCACTTCGTGGGAAGACCAGTTTAGTGGTAAATGAACAGTTGTCGGACTTTGTTTGGCCAATCCACTCAGGAAGTGGGACTAGTGTTGACCCCGAAAACAAAACAACAGAAAATCAGTGTTCCCTCCAACATGTTTTCTGAATCCCCACAAAAAAGGGACACCCCCCTCTATCCATTTGGGGTCGACACCGGGGCCGGAGAGTGGGAGCAAATTTCGCCCAGCTGGCCTTACCCTGAGCACATGGCAGAATCTGAAGCCCTGAGCCCACGCAGAAGGCAATCTACTGTTCACCCCCTGTCATATACAGCGACAGGACACACACATACTTTTCCCCGCTCCTCCTCCCTGGTCCGCACAAACAAGCAGCTTTTAGCGCTGGAGATCTTACAGGCTGCCATTGTAAGACCACCACAGCAAGCTCAACACCTCGCGAACTGAACATTTCAGCAAGGACTGGGAGTTAGTTAGAGTGGGATTCTGTGCTTTGGAGCCTCCCCCTTCAATTCAAGTATTGGCAGTTTCATCCAGGTGCCACGTCGGCTCAAGCACGCCCGGGCGACCAGGTTGATACATATATATATATATGCCCTGGAGTAAGGCCAGAATATACGGGCATATCTAGCTGCATGGTTCCTCAGGGACTACAACGATTGTTCAGGCGGTTTAACATAAATTGAGTCAAGAGACCAACCATCGTACCTACTTGGCCCTCTTCATTACAGGCCCAGCTTCTTGCCGGCTCAGGCCCGATGGCGAGCGGGGCAATCTGCTCTTCATCAATTCCTGCAGCGAAGCGATCGACGTGTGGCAGAAGTTGCCGGAAATCGACTGGGCCAAGTCCCTGCAAAGGCATAAGACCCATTTGGAGTTCCATTCGCATCTTCCTTTGCTCATTGGCTACTTGGCCTTGGTTGCGTCACCCTTTTGGCCTCCCAGAGCGTGCTGCAAGTCTGTGGATGCGCTGCTGGTGTTATTTTTTGTGGACCTGCAAAAGGCCAAAGCGCCAGGGATCATTCGGGGAACGAGTTTGGTTTGATTTTTGCCTGTGTTGTCAACGAGAGTGGCCAAAAGGTTTGTGATGTCACCGTAGAGGTCCCTTATATAATGAACAAAGCGTTCAGAACCAAGGGCTCTTTCAACCATGTCACTTTACGGGCATAAAACGAGCCCCAACATTGAAGCTCGTTTAGGGAACCGATGTTCAGGGCATTTGATAGGGAGGGGTATCTATTTTAGTTTGTTTTTTTCTTCGCTTTTGGCTTCTTGGCGTTTTGGCTTTTTGGCTTTTTGGCTTCTTGGCTTCTTGGCTTCTTGGCTTTTTGGCTTTTTGGCTTTGTCTTTTCGCATCCTCTGCATTCCCAGTTCCTCTCTGGCAGGTGGCGTTTTGGCTTTTCTGGCTTTTCGCTGGTTTATGCGGCTTGTGGTGGCTTTGGCTTTTAGCATCCTCTGCTTTCCCAGTTCCTCTCCGGGCTTTTGGCTTGTTGCACCCTTACCCCGGCTACTTTTGGCAGAGAGCTAGTTGCACCCCTATTTGAATCATCACTTTTTTCGAACATCCAATTTCGCGGGACACATGCTGTAAAATACGACATTTTATGTGATCTATGTATGCATGTATGTCTCTTCTTCGAACATCATAGGGGAAGTCACCCCCGCCAACCCCCCCCCCCCCCGCTGTTTTCTTATATTCTACCGCACCCTTTCTTGAATCCTTGCACCCCTAATTGAATCATCACTTTTTCGAACATCATGGGGGGGGCTGCCCCACTGAACCCCCCGCTACTTTTTAGATGTTTTATCCTATTTGGATCAGCACTGCTTCGAAAGTCATGGGGAGGGCTGCCGCCCCCCCCAACCCCCCCGCTACTTTTTAGATTTTTTACATTATTTGAATCATGACTTCTTCGAACATCATGGGGGGGGCTACCAACCCCCCACCCCCCAACCCCCCGCGACTTTTTTTTTTTCTCTCAGGGAGTGAATTGCAGAATCATCATTTTTTCGACCCCGTCAACCCGCCCGCTACTTTTTCGTTTTTTACCCACGATTTGTTGGTGATGCTGGGGGGCATGCTGAAAACGATGCTGGGGATGTTGACGGTCTAGTGTAGAATACGTCAATTTCGCGAAAATGCTGTAAAATACGACATTTTACTGGCCAAGACAAAAAACGAATCTGCTTTTTTTGTTTTCCCTGTCTGAGTCTTGGCCCCTTCCGGCGGTCGGGTTCGTATCCAGAAGAATCAATACGATCAGGCTCTGCATTGGGAGCAGCTTTCTTCCCCGCCCGAAGGGGTGCCAGTACAAGTCAGTTGGAAAGGGTGTTTCCAGATGCGAAGGCCTCCGGCTTGGAGCAACTCTCAGTGATCATCTCAGTGATCCAAGGCAACTACCGGATCTTCCTGTTGCACACCTTCGCGCTCTGCGGGCTCTTGTGGTTCTGGATTCTGCGCCTGGGGGGCCAGGAGCATCCGCGGAGCAACACATTCTTTTTTTGGGCGGGGCACCGTCTTTTGGTGGCAGGCCAAAAAAAACCGGTCCATTTTTTGGGGGGTCCACGAACAAACCGCATGGGAGGATGGCAAAGGCCCCAGCACCGTTCTCAGAACCTGTCTAGGGGTTCGGGATTGAAGGGTTCTGGGTGATTCCCTGATTCACCTCATGTGGTCAATTTCTAAAGGCCCACAAACAAGCCGTGGGGACCCTCCAATCTTCCCATGTCCAGTAAACATTTGGACCAAGCCACGGGCTTGGTTTGCAGTGTGTCCGTGACCCACAAGTTTTGTGATCGGTGGCTCAGCGGTTCCCTTGTCTTGTGTTTTTTGGGTTTTATGTTATGGATGGTCTTACGGATGTGTATTTGGGAATGGCCCTGTTAGCTTGGGGTAACAGCAAGTGTGGGAAAAACGGAGTGGTTTGCCTTTGGGTGGCACCGGAGGGAGATGCGTGGCTTACACTCCATGATTCATGGGCTACCCGCGCTGGAATTGTGTCCCGCTCTCCAAGCACCCTGTTACTCGGTAGGGATCGCCATGGACCCCGCATTAAGGAACCTAGATGACCGGTGCAAGGGCTCCTAGTGAGAGAGCCATGTCCACCCACATACTCGCGTAAGGAGTTTTGACCATACTTTGGATGGACAAACTCCCACACCAAATTGGGATGAATGAAATCACACGATTGCTGGGATAAACTACCTACCCACTGCAGGTCTTGTCCATCCACAGGAGCACATATGAGCTACGATCCACATTTCCTGCCTAGCGAATTCAAGCTGATGGCATGGACGCACTCACCAAATTACAATTCGGACATTGGGTACTCACCGAAGTCACATGAGCCCACAATCAAACCCAGGAAGATGAAGGTTGGTAAGAGAAAATCCCAACCACAAATGGGTGCAGCCGCCGTTTTAATTCTTTACATTATTCGGGGTAGACCATGTCAACACCGATCGTTTTTTTTTAATTGTGACTCACTTGCAGCAACCAAAAGGACACCACCGTTCTTTTTGGGGGTCCCTAATATAAAAGCCAGTCAGATTGCCCTTTCTGGTCATGGGGTTACTCACCAAAGTCACAGGTCACATAGACATTCACCGCAGGAGGGCCTGGGCCGCAGGCTTTGGCAGGATTGGGCCTGGCTCTGCGAGGCGTGGCCCAGGGGCTTTCAAGGAGGGTTCACAAGGCTGGGGGTCCGGGTTGCCGTTGATACCTGGGCTTCTGGCATGATTTGTGTTTTTTCGGCCCTTTGACCACGGGAAACAAGAAACGCACTGGACAATCCACTCACTTCCCATGGTTGCATCCGCTGAAAAACCAGCTATGTACTGGTCACACGTGTGTGTGTGTGTATATATATATATATAGAGATGTCCCGTCTATCATATGGGTGTGTATTCACATATGTTCGCATGGACTTATATTTTTAGATATATATTTTTGAGGGAAGTATAACTCACGTTGGATTGTATGATTTCGGGTAGACGCCCCAGAAGCAGAGAGGTGATTGAGGAAGCCAGCATAGAAAATGAGGCCGCCCATCGAACCCACACAATCAACTGATATGAACGCTGAACAGGATGGAAGTGCAAAGCACGAGGGAGGGAATCAACTGCAAGGGATTCTCAGTGAAACCGCACGGGATGTTTTAGTGATGGGCGTGTCGTTTTTGAGGGTACCCTGTTTTTGGCGGTCCAAGCATCTTTTTCCGCCTTTCTTTTTTTGAACTTTGAAGCAGCGGTTTCGCCAGGTTTGCGGTCAGGAAAGCTGAAGGGGGGGAAGAATGAACAGCACCGGCCGGGCCTGTCAAGCCCCGCCGGCCCGGCTCCGCAGGCGGGGCTTGGCCTGGTGGCCCCGGCTTGGATGCTGCTCTTCCAGATCGGATTTCAGGCGCGGTCGGCGGATTCCTTTTTGCTTGCTGGGGCCATAGGTAGGGAATGAGGGAATCAATTTGAGGATTCCCTTTAAAGGAACCCATAGGGGATGATGTTTCTCGGGGTCATTCCATTTCTCATTCCCTGCCTATCGCAGAAGCACGTTTTTGAGCTGTTTGGAGACTCACCCCAAAGCAACTCGACCGGACAATGGGCCTTTTTACCAAGCCTCCAAAAGTGAACCTTGCAAGTCTAGGTCCTTGCAAATGAGTGGAGGTGGTTTCCCTTTGGGTGTCCTTTGAAGCAGCCCCAAAGATTCTCTCCATTGTTTAGGTCCAGGCATTTGTGACTTTCAATGTGCGCGAACAAATATTCCACAGAGCCATCAATATTCTGTTGGCGCTGGGGTGTCTACATGTGCGAGCTTTACGGTTTCCGGGAAAATCAGGGGGTGAGTCCCCTGAATTCCTTTCCAGCCCTCTTTTTGGCCTTGGCAAGTTTGGCCATACCACATGGTAACCAAGTGCTGCGACCAGTTCGTGTTGCCGAGCAAAGATCAAGTGGTCAAGACAAACGATCGCTTGAGCCCCAGTTTAGCAAATGAACGGAAGGAATCCAACATGGGTTTGGGAAGAAACATCATCTTCATGTGTTGTTTGGGGGGATACCACCTGGGCTTCTGTTTTGTGGCTTTTGAACCTCTAAACAACACATCTTTCAACACTCCACTCACTTCCCACTCCCGACTCCTCGTTATGGGCGTAGAGGGCATTGGTCCGGTTTCCCTTTGGTTTTGCCAATGTCTTCGAAAGACGTCCCAATTCTTTGGCATGAGCCACGCCTTCACTTGCGCCCAACTTCCTTCCCCTGCGGGATCACCCGATCCGCATTGAGTTGAGCCCATGTGTTGCCCAAGGGGTCACTGGCCGAAGGTGAAGCTGTTTTGTTCATCCTGGGGTTTTCAGTGAAACCGGGTGCTCACCGAGGCCGTTTGGTGCTCATGTTTGTTCCGCTGGTGAGGAAGATTCCGATACGATTTCCTGGCAAGTTTCAACCAGTGATTCATTTATCTGTGTAGGTAACCAAAGGAAACTACTCTTCAAATCCAAAAGGAAGATAGCTATCCATGGGACACATAGACGCAGGATTTTATTTCATCATTAAGAGGCCTCAGGGGCTTCACCTCCCATCAACTTCGAAGCTCGCAAACTCGCGGGCGAGTCCACTATGAGGATTCTCGTTCTGGGAATTCTATGCATTGCCCAAATGCAAGGAAACCAAAATCCTCTCTCGCACCAGCATGGCACCTGACAGGGCGTGCAGCCCTCCCACAAGAGTGGGAGGGTCACCAACCATCACAAAGCGCAGCATTTGAAGACCCTTGCGAATGGGATTGGGAAACTGCTTGGAAGGCCCAGCCAACTCCTGGTTCACGCGGCCAATCGGCCAATCCGCGCTTTGCCCGGGATCCAATCCAAGTTGGACTTCAAGCTTTTGGCTTGCGGGTTTCAGATCTGTGGGCCCACCAACCGACCAAGACACTCAGCGGAGCCTGCAGGCGTTTACGCCCTGCCTGGCGCGGCGGAATCGGCTCAGGGGATGGCTGCAGCTGCCCGGTATGGGACAATTCGCATGGGGCGTGGCTCAAAAATTTAAGGGCTGGGGTTACGCAGGGTTTGGTCTTTGCTTCCATTTTCCTAGGGCCCATTTTGGGTACATCTTCTGAGCCGCAGCCATATGGGTTTGTGTTTTTCTAGGGCAACCCCGTTTGTATGGAAGGGACACCAAAAGGAACCCCTGTCTTTTTGGGTGTCTCCCATGACAAACTCATACTTCGCTTGGTGATTTTGCACGTCCCTCCTTGGGTAGGAGTGATGTTTTGACGGGACATGTAGATATTGGGAACCCTGTCGTGTGTGGTCGGCCTGCAGACGTTGCCGTTGCCCCCACTTCCATGCCAATTTGTAGAGGGATCCCCTTTTCGTATCAAGCCAGAAGCTTCGCGGTTAGCCAACCCACGTCAGTATGCTTGCCTGGTCCTCTTGTTTGAAGGGGGGAGTATGGGTGTTTCTCGAAATGGGGGGTCACCTCGAATTGAAGCAACGGTGTGGTCTCACACACCAGACTTATGGGTGACACCAGCTCAAGAGCTGGTCTTTGTTTTTTTTCTTCAATTTTTGGATTTCGGGGGGTCCGAAGCAAAACACATCAACCGCTCGCTGCCATGGGTCGAGGCTGCTCTTCATTGACCTGATCCCGGTAGTGTCCTTCACCGCCCTGGTGGTGCAACACAACTCGCCAGGAGGCGGAGAATCGAAAAAGGGGCCGAGACCGGATGGAGTCAGATCAGGTTCCTTCTTTAAGTGGGTTTGGAGCCGAACAAAAAGGTGGGTTTGTGGGAGCCAGGGCTTCGAAGCCAAATCCAAACCAATCTCAACCACCATGAAGGCTGACAGAGTAGGGATGGAAGTCAAGCACTCCAGGTATCACAAGCTAAAATATCCACAACCAACCATGGAACGGGGTGTTTCTTCGCCGACCTGTTGCCAGTGCACATTTGTCATATCCATTGCCGATCTGCATGTTTGCCGTCAAGTGAACCCCCTTTTGTTGATGTTAAGACGAAAGGGACCCCTGCAGAATCTTTAAAGAGGATTTTTTGAGAGGAGCCTAGGGGATATGCGGCTATGCGTCCCAAAACCATAGGCCTCATGTTCCCAGCCCCTCGTGGGCAAGGAGGGGGGGGAGGGGGAGGCGGGGAGGGTTTGCCAACCCGAGATGAACATTGCCCTGTCAAGAGGTGGTTTGTCTTTCCGTTTTTGTTTTGTTTTCTTCCTTTTCTCTGCGGGGGGGTGTAAAGAAAGTTGCGCAAAGACCCTAGAAATCAGTCGGGTGTGTGTGTGTGTGTGTTTCCCCTCTACCATGGTGAGTTTCCTTTTTTGGCTTCTCTGCAACTCCAGCGGCACCCTCGCAAATAGACGCCCAATTTTCAACCAGACTCCCCTTCCTCAAAATCAGACCGGGTTTCGGAGGAAAGAAGGGGAGAGTCGGGGATCCTATGTTAAAGCTTTTTTTGGCGGACACATTTTGAAATATTCAGATAACCCTTAGTGGTTTGGATTAGTGACTTGGGGATTCACCAATCAGGGGGAAGCTGAAATCAGGGCTTGGCCTATCTCCAGGAAGCGCTGTGGAAGAAATCGACACCCAACCTTTGAACCCAATCCTACTCTGATTCAGGGCCATATCACAGGGAGCCAAAGCAGGCTCGTGACTAGTAGGGTTCAACGGTCACCTCTTAGGCGGCCAGCAAGGAGCATTGCAGGCCAGAACTCTTCCATGGCTTTGCTATGAGCTCCGAATCAACGTCGGAGCCAAATTAGCAAAACAGCAAAAGCCCACCGGGTCTTGGCGAGCTTCTTTCTTCTGCGAGGCGTGGAGTCCAAGTTCCAGTACCTCCCCTTCGTGCACCTTACGAACTTCGACGTTTTGCTGCCAGCCTTAGCTGTAAGCTTGGGGGTTGGGTCTCCTCTTCAAAATCATGTTATACATTTTGAGATAGACCAAATTTGAAACATAACTTCAGACTCCGCAAATGTCGTATTTTCTGTGTGCTCCAGATATGGGCCAAGTACTCCCCGTTAACAAAAAAATGTCACAAGGGCGCGTGGTGCCTTGCGAACAATTGGGGTTGTACTGGGCCTTTGGACCATTTTCCTGTACCTTTGTGGCGGTGGGTTCGTGTTGCAATTTTGGCTTTTGACATGTTGTTGGCTTCCTTGATGTTTCCTTTCCAGCAGCAAAACGATTGCCTTTGGCAGTCGGATCGATCCGTCGAGTTTGTCGGTTCAATGTTTTTGTCATGCTTCTTATTGCTTGCGGTTTCAGGTTCATTTGGCTGCCAAGAAAGGTACCCAGTGGATGTCAGGCAAGCCAGTGAAGTATGTAAGCCATATTTTTCTTTCGGATGTAAATGGTGGCTTCCTTGCCTGCTTACTATCAGGCAAACGCACAACTGCCAGCCATCGATCCAAGCCACCAATCAGTGGGAAGCTGACACTATGCAGATAGTGTAAATGGAATCACTGAACATCTACTGTGCAGTGCAGGTAAGTGGGCCTGTGCGCTCACCAAAATGGTGGCTTGCCTGTTGCTTTTCCTTTAAGCCAAGGTGATAACCTGGTACCCTCAAGACATACAGCCCCACTTTTGCTTTTAAAGGGACACCAAAAGGGAAACCTAGCCTTTTGATGTGTCCAAAATCCCGACTTCGACAGATACCCAAATGTCCAACAACATTCATACTTGACACATGAACCGATGAAAATAACACATCTGAGGCTGGTTATGCACACCTTCTTCTCCGTCTTCGCGCTCATCTTGGCCTTGGGCCCTCGCTCCGACAACTTGTACCGCTGGCGCTTCTACCCCACCATGTCGAGACCAGACCCCCGCACCGCAAAAAAGGGGCCGAAGTGTCATCAGAGAGGAGACCCTTTGGACATTCAGGCTTTTTGTCCACCAACCACCTTTCAGGTGAATCCCCATCAAAATTCAACCCCATTTGAGTGTTTCTCGAAATAGGAACCGGCCTACAATGGCAACGGTTTCCTTTGGTTTTCGTTCAAGGCATCCTGAAAAGGGAACCAAGGAAGACACATGGACATGTGGGCTATGGTCACTGGATCTTTAGAATTTAACGTTTTGGGAAGCAGTGGATTTCCCATTGAACCACACAAAGCTAAACTTTTTGCAGAGGGGTCAACAGCAACCAAGTTTCTTAGCATTAGTAGATAGTCATCGGCCGTCTAGCAGGCTTTTTAGAAGGACATTTTGTCAGTAAGGATTGTTTCCAAACAACATGAATATCCAGTTCAAAAAATGGCTCTTGTTTTCATGGACCCCTAAGGGGGGCGGGGGGTGGCTATCCCTGCAATAGCTTAAGGCTTTATTAAGGGGCTGCAAAGGGATAGCCCCCCCCCCCCCCTCCCCGTAGCCCTCCTGGGTCCCTGGGTCCACGGTGTTTGGGTTTCTTTTGTTGGTTGGCGACATGCGCCACGATCAAAACCCGGGTAGATGAAGCTTAGTAAGGGGCACGCCCAACCACAAGTGGGTGCGGCCACTCTTGAGTAACTCTTTACACTCTTTTGGGTTCACCATTTTTTGTACCACATGGTGTTGTGCCTTGGTTCACCATGTTTTGGGTTCACCTTGGTAGCTCTTTTACACGGTTTTTGTACCAGGTTTTCCCCCCTCCCTGTAGCCCCCCTGAGTCCATGGTCTTTGGGTTTTGTTTTGATAGTGACTCACATGCGCCTGCGACATGCGCCGCCATTTTTGTACCCAAATTCACCTTTTTTCCACCATCTACTCTTGGTTTGTTTTGCTATTTGGGAGGCTTTCCTTCCCACAGCCCTGGGTCCATGGACTTTAGCACTTTGGGTTTGGATTCTGACTCCAAATGGGCCTCCCCACTTGCCCAGTGGTGCCCGTCTTTTCCTTTTTTTTGGAAGGGTTCCCTTAAAACTCAACCAAACCCGGAGAAAAAAAAACAAATAAAAGGATGCCGATTCCTTTTTTCCCCTGGAAATCCACTGGGCCTCGCTTCGCCTCGCCTCGCTTCGCTTCGATTCCGAGGACGTGGTGCCTGGCACGGCCTTCTGGATCTGCACCGTGGCGCTGTGGTCCGTTTTCGCGTCCAGCGGCGCCTGGTACTGCGCGCAGACCTTGCTGAGGCCGGGGAGAGGTGAAACCGGGGGCCTAAAAGAGCATGTCCTTTTTTGGCGGTCTTGGAGGAAAAATAGGTGGCGATTCCTGGTGTACCTGGTGGTTTAGTCTACCAGGGAAACCCATCTTTATTTCCCCTAAAAGGACACAATTGTCAAAGAGGGTCCCCAAAAATTGGGCTTGGGCATCCCCTTAGCGGGAGGTGGTTGGGTGGCTTTAAACTTGGTGGTTCCCAGCCATCCGGTTCCTTAGCTTTTTAGATCCTTTTAGTGGTTTAGTGGTTGGATTTCCGAATGTAAGCCACTAAAAGTTAGTCACTTTTAGCGGGGGAGGGGGTTTTCAGGACAGCCGCTTCTTGGGGTGTTATTTTTTCTTCCCAAGTTCTTTCATTTTTTAAATGGGGATACTCAAGGGAAAACACCATACTGGGTTTAGACGCACCCGTTTAGGGTGGTTTAAGGATGCTTTCTACAACAGGGCCCCTTAAAGGATTCCAGCTGGGGCCAAATTTTTGAGAATCGGAAACAAACAGGCTGATTTAGAGGACCCTTCCCCCATTTCATTGGATCACATTTGCCAGCTGATTTGGAGGATCCCCATGTGAATTGGGAGATGTCTCCTCCAAACTTGTCAACTAATATCTATGGCAGCTAATTGGAATCCAGGAGTGACAAACCCCTGGTGGTAAACTGGCGCTGCAATACCTGTGTCTCCAAATTGACATGGCATAGTCGGGCTCTCCACTTGGTTTATCGTGGCGAATGTGGGGTCCTGTCAGCTGTGCCACTCCAGTGTGTTTTGTCTTTCAACTGGGTTTTGGGTGCAAAGAAGCCTTAACAATGGATGAAACGTATGAGGGGGAGCCGGTGAACGCCTTTCATAGTCAACCCGCCAAGAAAAGGTGTCCTTGTTTTTCCCATGGTCGCCAAGGAAAACTCTGTTTTGCCTCACCTGACGCTTCATGGAACTTTGGGAGGCTTCCCATGAAGCCAATCTCTGGTTTGTTTTTTGATTTTTATCTAGGTGTTACCCAGTTGTTCGGTTTTGTTTGAGGCAAGCTTTCGCTCTTTTGATTCGGCGGGTTCCCCTCGGAAACGTCAAGGTCACTAAGCAACTGGGGTTGTCAAGATCTTCCCCTTCACCTGTCACTTGGGTGTTGATTTTGGTAAGGCAGGGCTTGTGGCTTGTGCAACGCTTAAAGAATTTCAGGTGATTGCCCTGTCAATTCACACCGCCGTTCCCGAACGCTTGCAAGTTTCAAGGCAGACTTTGGCGTTTAGGAGACCATCCAATGCTATGCCGGGCCCAAAGTGCCTTGCCCTTTGATTGAAACAATGTGGCTGTGGGTCAAAATACGTACCCCACACTGGCAAATGGAACCGCGGACGATTTAACCTGCGGTCCAATTCGTGATGGTGACAAATTTTGGACCCATACCCATGTGCGTTTGTTCGCCTCACTGGCAAATTCTACATGTGACGCGCAAATCCGCAAATCTCTCACACCGAGTTCTGAAGGATGTGGAGGCTGCCGCAGCGCTGGGGATGTTTTTCAGCCTTTCGTAGGGGCCGATGTTCGGTTCTTCACAGGGTCCGAAAGGCTCACTCCCTGAGTTTGTCGACTTTAGTCACTTTTTGGGTTTGGACCAAAATAAGAAGTTCGTGGACTTTTTTGGGCCAGTCCAGCCGAAATTGGAAGTGAGTTGAATATGATGCACAGAATTGTCACCAGGATTTGGGATGTCTATGACTCCCTGCTGCTGCCCATGCCACAGCTACTGGCGGTGCTGAACGTGGTGATTCTAGTACCCACCACCCTAGCGCCTCGCCCGAAAACGAGATGGGCGCAGATTTCGTAGCCGGATCTCAGAGAGTTTGCGAGTTGCCAACAACTTGCTCTCCCCAGTACTCTTCTTGCATCTTTTTTTTTTTTTTGGTTTCCATTTGGTTTCCCTTGCTTTCCCTTGCTTGGTTTGATTTCCCCTGGTTTTCCCTTGGTTCCCTCGTAACTTCCCCGAGGTTTCCATCGGGCTTTTCCTCGGGTTTCGCAAGGCTTCTCGGCGTTTTTTTTCTTTCTCTCTCTCTCTCTCTCCGGGTTAAGACCTCCGGCATCCATTTGCTTGAGAACATTTTTTATTTTACCCTGTTGGTTTGTAGAGGGAATTTATCACTAATTACTGGACATATTTTTTTCAATCAAATGTTTTTTCCTGGGGTCTTAATCAAATGGAAGCCGGCGGAGGTCCCGGCGGAGGTCCCCTTGGTTTTGGTTTCCCTTGATTTCCCGTGGTTTCTCCTTCCCCGTGATTTCCCTAGGTTTTTCATCGGTTTTTCATCGGGTGTCTGGTGTTTTCCCAGTGGAAGAGGTCTTCCCCGTGGTTTCCATCGGGTTTTTCCTCGGGGAGGAAGGCTTTTCGGCTTTTTTTTTGGGAGACCTCCGGCGGAGGTTTCTGGTTGCCCTTGATTTCCCCTGGTTTCCCCTTGCTCTCCCCTTGATTTCCCTGGGTTTTTCATCGGTTTTTCATCGTGTGTTTGCCTATTGTTATTTTCCCCTGTTGGTTTTTAGAGGGAATTTATCGCTACTGGACGCATTTTCATATTTTGTCCAGGGGTCTTAACCAACTGGACGCCGGCGGAGATCTCCAGGTTTCTGGTTTCCCCTTGCTTTCTCCCCGTGATTTCCCTACGTTTTTCACCGGTTTGTCATCGAATCGAGTGTTTGCCGGTGGATGAGGTCTTCTTTAGCTTCCCCGTGGTTTCCCTCGGGCGCTTTTCCCCGGGGAGGGCGGTTGTTCGGCGTTTTTGTTTTTTCGGGAGACGACCTGCGGAGGTCTTCTTCTCCACGCTCTGCTTCTTCCTGAACTTCGTGATCGCCTTCATCGGCGCCTGCGTGGGCGCCTACCGCCTCGGCGGGCTGCGGCTCATGTGCACGCGCCGGGGCCTGGGCGCCTTGGAATCAGAGGGAGGGACCCCAACAAAAAACCCACACACAGGGGGTCTATTTCGTGGGGGTGTTGTGCGTCCCCTTCGGGTTGTGGTGGGTTTTCGTGCGTCCCCTCCCAGCCGGCCATCCGGAGCTTTTCAGGTGTTTGGGTGGTTTTGGGTTTGGTCTAGAGGTAATTCAAGCCGCTAAAAGTTGGTCACTTTGAGCAGGGGATCTGAGCACAGTCTAATATGTGGGTGTGGTCCTGGTTTAGGCTGGACCCCCTCCTTTTGGTTTTCCTTTGAGCCCACTAAAAAGGGGGTGCTCACTTCCCGAGGTGCTGGCGCTTCATCCACGGAAGTGGTTAGGGATCGTTTCCTTAAACGGGTGGTACCCGTTTTGACACCTTCAACTTGGATAGGAGGATTTTTTGGGGTTTGCCGAAATCCATTTTGTGCCCCCAAAATATTTTGACGCTCAATTTTTCAGATGACGTCCATGGAAGCGGTTATTACCTGGAAGGCACAGGATTTTCCCCGAAGGCTTTGAGGCTCTGGTATTGCCGTTCCGGGTAATTGCTGAGGGCTGGGTGGGCATTGACTGTTGCCTGGTGCGCAGTGGATGCGACCGGATCGTGTTTGGGGCCAGGGTTTCCTCCAAACCTTTCACATCAACCGACCAAAAAAAGGGGCGCCAAGTCCCTTCTCCCTTGGACATTTGCTGGTCTAGGATGTATCAAAGCACTGGGCCCATGTTTGGGTCCTTGAACAAGCACAAAGGGGTATGCGTCAAACACGGGGATCTTTGGGTTCAGAAGATGCCCTCTTGAGGTTACCATTTCAATCGGTTCACAGAATGAGTCGGGTGGTTTCTCTTTGGGCAATTTGGGGACTCACTTTGACTCCCAGAATGACTCAAGGAAAGCGTCCAAGTTGCAAACCCAGGGAACCCAAGGGAAAAAGCGGAATCACAAAGTCACCAAGTTGCTGAAGTCGGGAACCAAGGGACAGCTAGCTAGAAGCCCCTCGGCTTTCAATATGGGCAAGATAAAAAAACCTCCAGAAAGGATTTCCCTCTAGGTCCCCCCAGTAGTGCCCTTCTACCCTTTTTTTGGGGAGGGTTCACCTACTAAAATAAACTACAGAAAAATCGGTGCCCTTATTCTAACCTCTTTACTGGAGGACCTAGCGTCCTTTAAACCAAGGCGAAAAGGGTCCCTCAACAACACGCACACGCACGTGTCCTCGGCTTTTGCACCTGCTGGAAAGGCTGAAGAAAAATCGGTCAAATTTGGAACGGGCGATTTTAAATGATGTCCAGATGAAAACCCCTTACCACCCCTCGTGTATGCAAGGGGGCGAGACCCCGATAACATGCACTTTCCCACACACGTTCTTGTTGTGGATGCAAAGGACACAATGCAGGGGGCGGGGAGGGGCGCGTTGTTCCTTGTTGCGAGGGATCGACCAAGGGTCCTTCTTGGGACGGCGGTAAAGTAAAACACCCGGAGGGATCAATCCGCAGTTTTGGACACCATCAAGGGGCGGAATATATTGTGATACATGCTGCACGTATACCCATAGACAAGGAGAGACAAAAGCGGAAAGGGATCTTGCGTTGGACGAGCCGTTGTGGGTGCTAAGTAACCATACTCCTTACATTCCGAAAAAGAAGCCAAAGCTTGTGTGTTGTCAGTGTTTTTTGATTTCCCCAAAAGAAAGATGGAAAGATGGAAAGTTCATTTTTTCAGATATGACTTTAATCAGCTTCCCTCTTGGATTGGATTGGTTTGAATTACGTAGATTGGTATGGAGATTTCCGGCGTACCTTCCCATGCAAAAACGAAATGGGTTCAAAGTTCAACTCGCACGGCAAACCACCCATCAAGGGCAAGATAAGGGGCACATGGCTAGCAATGATTTCTAACAGAGTACGCCTGTAAGGTCGAAATTGGGTTTGAGGTACCCCTAAAAGGAAACACCTCATGCCAAAAACATTACTAACCGTGCACCCCTGTAACGTCTAAATTTTGTTTTCAGGTACCCTCCCCCCCCTCCCACAAAAAAAGAAGAGAAAAGAAGCAAACACCAAACAACAAACAACCAACTAACAACAACAAAAACAGCTATGGAACAGCCCCTTTTCACCTGATCCGGGCCTTGACTATTCGGGCTGCCAAGGCTTGACCTATTTGCCGGAGGCCTTGGTTGGTCGGCTGCTGCACCTGCCAAACCACCCCAGCCGGGAGACCGGGGGCATCTTCGAGCGCTTCACCTGGTGGAGGCGTCTTAAGAAAGAAAACGACACGGCCAAGACCCGCTCAGTGGTACCCATCCGAATGGTTTTACTCAGCAGGTTCCCAGTGGCAAAATAAACTGTTTTTAATTGGTGGGTTTCCAATGACAAGTGGACATGTGTTGTTTGGTGGGTTCCCAGTGACAAGTGGAATGCCTGAAGAGGCTTCCGATGATTTTGCGGTTCAGTCCCTTAGTCTCGGCTGGTGATTCTGAGCGCAGATAGCTGATCTTTGATATGATGCGCCCAAAGAATCACCTGCAAAGCTTGGATGGCTTGCTTGTTTTTATCATCCCCAACGGAAAGTTGGGGGCAATGCCGGCAACACGTTGAGGGCTGCGGGTACCAGGGCAGGGAAGTCCCTGCCTACTCAGAGCCCCCAGCTAGGAATCCAAAGGCAAGAATCGTTTCGGGGGGACGAGGTGCGCAGGGGCTTCTTATAGCCAAATTTCGAATCGCTTAAGACGGCCAGGCGTATGACCGACCTCGAGCTGCAGGCAGGTGCTAACTGGTGTTTGCACGGCGGGTTCCACTTTTTGTTTCTTCTCTTTCTCTTTTTTTTGTCTCCGGGGGTGAACGATTCACTGAACAAACATCAGGTGCACCTGCGCAAAGCCAAGTTGCCGTCGTGTGTGCATATATATATATATATTAGTATATTCTATAACATATAAACATAAAAGTGAAAAGGTATTGCTTTAATGGAAGCTTGTTGTTTGGGAGGGTGGATACCAGCACTGCTATGCCATTGAAGTCGCATCTGCCTTCGGACACCAGACACCGTCAAGGGGTGGCTATCAGATCCAGTTGCTTGGGCTATTCCATGTCTCTCTGACACACTTGCTCCCCTTTTTAGGGTACCCCCCCCCCCAAAAAAAAAGAAAGAAACTAAGGTGGGTTTCTCTCCCGTAAAAGAGCAAGGCTGCCCTTAAAAAAGCCACGCCCATCATTCGAGGCCACTCCGTTTGGACCTTGGGACCTTCTTAGTCCGGGGGCGGGAGCATTCTACTCGGAGCGCATCTACCTGAACTGACCCATTCCTTTTTCCCACGCTGCAAAATTCAGTCAAGGTTCCAAAGCATTCTCAAAGACACTCGGAACAGGTGATCACCTTTTGTTTTCCAGGTCTGGGCAAATGATGTGATGGGTGTTCTGGGGTCGAGAACAAATTAACATGGAACTGCAAAACGGGGCTCCCCTCTACCGTCATTTGAACATCCAGGGACCTGTAGGGTCATTTCAGAATTTGTTTTTCTCGCTTCCTGAGGTCCTGGACTCTATTCGCTTTTGGGGATTGGACCATTTGCAAATAAACAGCTCGGACTTTTTTGCTGGCCAATCCACTCGGGAGGCGAGATTTAGTCTTGTGATGTTTGAAGGGGACGTATAAGGACCTTCCGACCGTGAAAGACCAGGGATGTCTAATCATGCAGCAGATCCTTGCAGTCGAAGCAGCCTGTCAGCCTGGTGTTAAAGTTTTCTGCCAATCACCGAAAGTCTGTCAGGATGAATTTTGTTGGTTGGTCTTTAGTCTCCGCTATTATAGCTCTTGTGCTTTTTTTGCTGTGGTTTGCACCTTCTCTCCCCGGTTGAGATTTGCGTTTGGGTACAGCTAGGACCAAAATAGGCCAAGAATAAATCTTTGAGTCGAAGATTTGGTTCTCCGGGGGGGCATGCTTTCGGAAGCCTGGAGTCAGGCCTTTGTGGATGTGTGGAACAAGTTGCTGAAGGCCAGATCAAGACCCACAGTGATCAACGGCACTCTCAGGTAGGGGTCTGGAGGTATGTAGTTGTTTTCTTCCACATATACAAGCTAACATGGGGTATATTCTACCACCCAACCCAATTGTTGTGGTTTTGTTGTTGAAATCAAAGGGCGCCCTTTTTGCCCAAAGTGGAGCCAAAGCAGGATCCCTGCAACTGAGTCAATGAGGGAAAGGACAGCTTGAGCGGTTGTCTCACTTGCAATAGCGAATCGGCTTGAAATGATCTCGGTTTTTCACTAGCTTTGGATTCTTTGGAATCCCTGGAAATGATACAACATTGAGTCAATACCTAATGGGAACCCATGGCGATTTGAGGCATCTCAGATTACTTACGCGATTCAGTTTCCTTGCAGTCATTGTAGTAAGGGCTTCTCATTAGGGCATCATGACGATATTGTACGTCCATTCCTGACAGAAGCAGAGCTTGGAATTCTGTTGAAAGGGTTGCACCGCTGGCATAGAGGGTCTGTGTATAAAGCCCGTCCTCGGATTTATAAAATAAAACCATCGTTCGCCTTAGACCTCTCCTTGGAAAGAACATGCGACGGGGCGTCTACGGTTGCGCGTCAAATTTTCAAGACTAACCCCGGGCGGCGCGCTAATATCACCGTGAAAGGCAACTTGATCAACTGGATCAAGTTCTCAGTCGAGTTTATCGTGGGACTCGACATGGGGAGATCATTCGAGCAGTCAAACGCTTGGGTGTTTCCTGACCAATCCACTCAAGCAAGGGTCTCCGACTCACCAACCCCTCTCTTGGGATAAACATATAACTTTCCGTGGGTCTTCGCGGAAGAACAAACACAAGGGTGGTGGGTTTCTTTTGTGGACGTTATACTTCCTGTTCGAAACGCGCTCACTGTTTGGGATGCAAGGCATCCTGAGGTGCGGATGTTGAGCACAAAGAGTTGAAGTCGCCAAAAGTATTGAGCACAAACTGAGCTCTGCTCAGCCATGTTGTGGTTCTCAGGCAACACAAAGGGGATGGGTGCTTTTTGGTTTTTGAGAAGGGTGGGCCCCGTCTTCTAAGGTGTTCTTTTGGTTTCCCTTTAACACTTATCCCAAAGAGGGCCACCTTTCAAAGCGGATCCGAAAACGCCGGGCCCCGACAATTTCACTCCCTCCCCCTGTCTAATATTTGGGTGTGGTTCCTTTTTTCTAGGTTGGACCTCCTCCCCCCAAAATGGGTGGGTTCTCCTTTCGGTTTTCTTGTGAGACCACCTCAAACGGGGTACTCGCTCCTGAGTTCCTGGACTTTAGTCACTTTTTTGGGAGGGCCATGCTAGTGTCAATCAACGAGTTTGGATTTTTCTGGGGCCATCTGCTCAGGAAATGAGACTCATGTGGCCCAAGAAAAAGGGACACCCCCCCCTTCTATCAATCCGGGCTCGACATTCCCAGAAAAGAGTACTAGTCTTCTTTGCCCCCATGATGCCAGCTCCAAAGAGGATCAGCCACCCTCCCATGCCAACTCCACAAAGGGTCGCTCCAAAAGGACGAGGCCCAATTTCTGGGTGTCCTCTCCGTGTCAGGAGCTCCGGGGCAAGGATCTGCTTTGCGACCGGGAGGTCCAGTTCCTCGCCTTCAGGACCGGCTTCCGCGCGCGGTCCGAGCGATCGAAGATGCCCGGTGGAAGTCCAGCCGGTCTGCGGGTCACCTTCCACTTGCTGAAGAAAGTTTTGTCTTCCCCTGCTGATTTTGAGGGGAATCTATCAATGGAAGTATTTTCGTTCAGAGACTTGAGCAGATGGAAACAACACTTGCAAAAGTTGGGTGTGTCTTTATCAGGTGCAAAAACGGCATCGGTGTTCCAGTTGGATTCCCTTTTAAAACACCCAAGACTGTGTACCCTCAAAGAAAGACACACCCAGTTGGCTTGGATGTGGGTTTTGGAAAAGCCGAAGGCCAACTCAACAGGAGCTTCACCAAGGCTTGGCTTCTGGCTCCGCAGACGGGAGTGAGCCCGGCATCCGAAGAACCCGATTCGATTCGGACCGATTCCCGAAGCTACGTAGGGTGGATTCACGGCCGTTCTCAGTGCGTGAATCCAAGCTTTGACTGTTTTAGGGGGCAAAGTCAGACACGAGGCAACTGTGTCGCTTTAAACAAGACTTGTCCGTGGAAAACACGGATGGCCGCAAGGTCTGTGGAAGAAGCGCGGCAAGGGCATGTGCCGCGGCTTTTCCAGGCGCGATGTCCGGAAAAGAGGATCAATCCCCGGCCCTGAGGTTACCCTGAAGGGAGTCTTCCCCATATGTTTGCCTCCGGCACAAGCGGAGCAATGCATGAAAGGGGTCCATGTTTGGCTGGCTGGGACGGGGGCAAGAGAACACATTGAAGCGATCAGCTTGACATCATGCTCATGTTCGATACAGGTTTGGCGATACGTGCAGATCTGGCTTTAGCAACCGAAGCACGGTGTAGCCATGTAACTCAACAAGAAGGGCGCAAAGCTCATTCTCAGTCTCTTTGAGCTGATGTCTGTTTTGTTTTGATTTGCTGCAGCAAGTTCCAACCTGCTTCGAAAGCCACGCACAAACGTTGGGTAAATGCCAGGGGTTGTCAACTAGGTTCCTACTAAAAGTTTATGGAATCAGACTGTTTGTTTCCTACATTGGGCATGTCCTATCAGGAGATCCGAAAGCCCATTGTAAACACCCAACATGCTGATCATCCTCGTAGCCCTGTGCGTGTTTGTTGTTGTTTTTTGAAATAGGGGCTTTATCATTCCCACTTTGGGATGAGCGGGAAAAAATAAACTTCCACCAAATGGATTTGAGTTCCATCAACACCATTTGTTGAATCTGCGATTGGGCCGCCAAACCGATTTGCAACACTCAATCAGAATGAATGCCAGCTTTGTGCCCAGACCTTTTGTAGTGCCCTTTTTCTAGGGGTTGATTCCCCATTCTTTTCAACCCCGGTTCTTTTCAAAAACCGCCGGTTTCCCCTGGGTTTTTCATGGTTTCCGGAAAAGATTCGGATTGGAAGGTACCCCTCGACTTTTATTTTTATTTTTTCCCCAACAAATGAAGCGTCTGCCAATGGGCTCCGGAGTGGTCCAGAGCTCCAGTTCCGGAAGGATGGGGCTTGGGCTGGCCAGTAGGTCAAGGCCCCCAGAACATCCACTGGAAGTCAGGGCTGTGTCAAAGCATGTTGCGACACATGGAGTTCCAATGAAAGTATGACATGTTAGTAAGGATCCGCCTCAAATGTGGTTGGTGACATCTAAACGATGTGCATTAGAGGGTCAAACAAAACCCGAATAGAACGGGAAGGACCAGTCATGCGTGACAATGCACCGTTGGACAGGTTCCTGTCTGTCGCTTTTGCTTGGACTAGGACCAAGCGTCGTGAATTTAAGCAAGCCTGGCATGAACCAAAACCAAAAGGACACCAAACGGGATACTCGCCGGAATTACCTTCCAAAGAAGACACTCCCATTTTGGGTGGTCAACATTTGGAAATATCCCTTCCAAGGATAGCACAAGGAGTTCTATGTTTTTGCCTCATTTCCTTCCTGACATCTTTGGGGTCTCAGACATATGTTCTATTTTGGGGTAGACAAATGAAGCCGAATTTGCACAACTTGCTTGGTGTATACCCCAGAGTCCAGTGTTTTTTGGGTGTTCCTTGGGTAACTCCAATAAACCGCGATTAGGCGCTTGTTACCGCATCGAAGTGTGGGGGCATCAGTTTAAGATGGTTTCTTCTAACCCCAAACCACAGAAAAACATGGGGTAAACACTTGTCGCCGTTTCCATTAAACCCCTTTGGTTTGGGGCCACGCGCCTCGCAGGCGATGAGCATCAACGCCTTGCCGGCCAGCGCGGAGGCGCGGCGCCGCATCATCTCGCTGGCGCGGTCCGTGCAGATGGACCCCTTGCCCAAGGCCAAGGCGGGACCTGCGCCGAACGGCGACCGAATCGGCAGCACGAGCAGCGAGCCGCGAGGGGGCGGTTCACTGGGCCCATGGGTAGAGAAAACGGGTGTGAGTGCCCAAAACAGTAGCAATGAGCCATTTGAGTGGTCGACCTGCTGGGTTATGGGGATTTCTGCAAAAGAACCTTTGCAAACATGTTGGTACCAAGAGTCACCAGGTTTCGGGGGCTTACTTGCAAATGCAATTTTTCTCCTGATTTGTGATTTGTAGCTTGACCTGCCCCGAGAAACTCTCGAGTCTCTTCGAAGAATTGGTTCCAAGATTTTGTTAGGGTGGTAGGGCGCCTTTCCAATACTGGTTTCAAAGCCGCAGCAAGGGCTGGGAGGGTTAGGGCCCTTAATCATCCCTAATGGCCCCTGATAGTCATCGGTCATTCCCCTTACTATTCCGAATCAGTGCATGGCTTCATCTTGGAGAGACAGAGAAAGACAACAACTTGGCTCAAAGTCAAATCATTTTGCACAAATGGCCAACCCTGGCCGCCCAATGTGAGTCAAACGCGACCCTATACCGAAGTCTCACGCGTATCGTTGGTGCTGCTACTAGTACAGTATGTTGTTTGTTTGTTTGTTTGTTTGTTTGTTTGTTTGTTTGTTTGCTTGTTTGTTTGTTTGTTTTGTTTGTTTGTTTGTTTGTTTGTTGTGTGTGTGTGTGCGCGTGCGTGTGTCAATGATAGGCATTTGGTGTCCCTGGTTTTAGTGGGGATTCTTCACTTTGGCAGGGGAACACCCCCATATTCATAAAATAATAATAATAATAAGTTTATTCATGATCAACATTTTGTTTGAAGCTTTTTTGTTTGGGCACCTTGGAAGATAAACTGGGTCTGCTCGTTGACTCGGTGCCCTTCCTGAATCCAACAGCTCAAGTTCAAGGATTCGCCCGCACCCTTGCCAGCTGAGCACTTCCAATAGCCACTTTTGGTCACCAGGGGAATTATGATGTAATGGCGAGAGGCAAGCATACCAAGTTGCCTACTATGCCAGCTGGACGCACAGGGCACTTGAAAAAAGGTCAAGTTCTTTTCTGACAGGTGAAGACCATGCCAACTCTCTCCGTGCTGATTCCTCACTACTCGGAGACGATCCGCTACTCCAAAGAGGATCTTTTTACAGACTCGGTGTCCAACGATCTACTGAGGCGCGCATCCATCAGACCCTCCCTTAATAAGGACCCGGAGTACCATGGAGTAGCCCAAGTTGGTTGCACCTTTGGGGCGGGAAAATCCAACACAAAGCCACTAATTTGAGGTTTCCAAGCCATTTCCCTTTGTGGAACCTCCAAAACTGGCGATGTCAATGGAAACCAGTAGACTGATCAACCTTAGGGGAAATCCAGTGACCCCTGTTGATGAATTCACAAGCTGGGGCCAGCTGCACAGCAGTTTGCGGAGCTCCGATGACTCCGTCTGGGGCATGTTCTTCTTGGCTTTTCGCCGCGAGACGGTGCGTGCGTGACGACGAATTTTGTTTGCAAGACATTATTAGACTGGAGTAGGACACATTTTACATTTTACCAGTGACTCCAAGTGAAGCAAGCAATAATATATATATATATTCTATAAGTAGGCCTAACTTGAATCATGTTTACATTTCGCCTTTGGTTGCCGATGGCTTGCCTGCAACTAGCATAGGTTCCTCATCAAGTACTACCGGGATGAGTTTAGGAACCTGATCGAGCGCTTGGAGAACTCAGAAGACTGCCAGGCGCATTGGGTGTGTGTGTGTGTGTGGGTGTGTTTAGGCTCTTTGGGCTCACCCTAGGCTCAACCCATGTCGGGGACACCCCATACAGGCGCACCCACATACTTGTCAGCAACTCGTTTTAGGGGAAAGCCATACTAAGGGCAAAACATAGGGTTAGTACCCTCCCTTCCAGACACGTTGAACCTCACCGTGGGGGGGGAGGGGGTCTGGTTGAGTGGCAACTTGAACCGGAGGGTACTGCTTCAAACTTGTCCTCCCCAGATTCACCTGAGACCCCCAAACACCCGAGCCCGCTGTAGTTCGGAAGCTCCATGATCGTTTTTTTCGGGGTTCCACGTGACTCTGGGAAATCCAAGGGGCTTCCTTCGTGGCTTGTTGTAAGACTCTGGAGTAGATTTAGGATGCATTTTACGTTTCGCCAGTGACTCAAATTGAAGCAAACAATAAAATATATAAACCAAATTCTAATCATGTTTACATTTAGCCTTTGGTTGCCGATGGCTTGCGTGCAACTGGCGTAGCTTCCTCATCTATAACTGGGCCAAACTCTAATCATGGACGAGGTGATTTCGCCATTTGCCAGCCAATTGGGGGTCCTGAGGTCCTGGTTGATCAGCTTTTTTGTGGGGAGCGAGGTGCGTCATCGCCTGGAAGCTTCGCTCTTCGAGTGGGCCTCCCTGCGGATGCAGACCTTGTGGCGCACCGTGGACGGCATCTGCCGCGCCTACGCCCATGCCCTGGAGCCGTGGCGAGGGAGGGTCGCGAGGGAAGACCCGCCCGTTTCTACGTGGCGGTTCTGAGGCATCTGAAGGTAGCCCTTGCCCGGATGGTCCCTCAGCTAGGTGCCCGACCTCTCACCCCTTTTTGGGTTGGGAGGGTTCCCCTATTAAAATAGACTACAGAACAAAAGGATACCCTTGTTCTAACCTTCTCTACTGGAGGACCTAGCGGAGGATGTTCTCACTTCCCGAGTCCCGTTTCGGACTTGAGTCGCTTTTGGGGGTTTGGACCATGGCACTCGGCAAGTTTTTGGTCGGGGCCCATCCGCTCGATCGGAAGTCAGTGTTGGTTTGCCTGAAAACGCCGACCCCGGAAAGGATACCCTCGAGAAACACGGCGCCTTGACTGGGCGTGTCGTTTCGGGTTGGGGCTCTGTTTTCAGGTTTCAAGGTTGCCACCGAAAGGAAGATCGACGACATTTTGCGAGTCCCCTTATTTTGACACACAACTAGTTGGGCGTAAGGGTGGTACCCTTCTACAGTCGACCATGTGGAAAGGCTCCGCATCCCCTTCAAAGTGATGATTTTTTGGGGTGGGCGCGAAATCTCAAACCAAACCAGAAGCTTCTCGAAGATGAAATCGGGAGCTATGTCCCCGGAGCACATCGGTTTCTCCCGGGAAACCCGGGCCTGAGCCCGTGTAGTAGGTTAGAATTGTGGATGGTATTGCCAACAGCACAGTGCATGTCAAGAAGCCCCTTTGATCACTTACCCTTGTTTTTTGGGGGTTATATCAGTGGCTTAGCAACTATGGGGTTGCAGAAGACTTTACATTAAAACCAAATTAAGTCATGACTTTGGGACATGAGTCCCCTTTAGCACTAGGTTTTATATACTCGATTCCCGAGTGATCTTTGTGCTCACAAGGCCCCAAACGGAAATCCCGAGCCCGGCGCCGAGCTTGACCACAGACACACATGTTTTTTTTTTTCTTCTTTCTTTCTTTTCAGGTGGGTTCCCTAAGCCACTAAAAAAGGGGTCAAAAAAACGACGGACCTACATCAAGGATTTGTTGAGCGCGGCTTGGAAAAACCGGACTGAGCCAAGGGTTGCACTTGAATTCTCGATTTCTAGACGAATCGCCATGGTGCGCCAGCTGAGAGCTCACCATAACACGAGCTCCATCTAGGTAGGGGGGTGAACCATTTCGGAATTGTAGGAAGTGAGTCGTTAGGTATGGGTCAAGCAAGGTTGCCGTTTCCCCTCAACGTGGGTGTGTCTCTTTTGGGGGACCCGCCCAAAATGGTTTGTTTCCTGTTGCTTTCTTTTTGCCACCAACCAACAGGTGGTGTTCCTTAAAGAAAAGCACTCCCAAGCAACAGGTGCTTTTCTAACAGGTGGTTTTCCCTTTACAACCAACCAACAGAGGTGGTTTCCCTAAAGAAAAAAACACTCCCAAGCAACTTCTGCAGATCTGATTTGAACGCGGTCGCTCCGAGGAGATGTTGGCTAAGCATCAGGAGCGGCCTCCTCAGGCGAGTTTGAGCCAGGACAGGCGTCGGGGGAATTGAAAGATCCGCGTGACAAATCCGCCTCCGGTGGAGTCCTTTTTAAGTTGAATTTGGGAGGGGGACAATATGTCATCTTCCAATTGGCATGCTTCGCAAAATGGTCATATTCATATTTCACGTCAGGGATATTGATTAAAGAAGTGCCTTTTGCAAGCAGCTGAAACATTTGGAGCCCGTTCGGTCCTCGGCCTCTTACTTCTGGCCCCTTCTGGCAACGGGACTTTAAAGGCAACAGCAGTTTTTTTGGTTTTGAGCCCAAAAGGTCCCTGATTCATCGAGGGTGGTGTTCTTTATTAAATGTTGTTTAACATGACAAGGTGTTCCAGCTCGCAAAGGGGACCCCCCTTGGAGGCCAGCCCCCCTCATCAACTTGGGGGAAGCACATTTTTGGGGAACACTTGACGGGTTCAGTAGTGACTTAGTATTGGTGGGTTTAAGGACAGACTAAGCAAATGCTAAGCAAACAGGAAAGCCCCTGATACGTGTAATCAGGGGGGTTTACTAATCGCGCGCTGACACTACATATTTCTGGTACTTCAATTACATGGTTCATCATGGCCTTCATCAAGTGGATGCCTTTTAAATTTTTGTCATACCCTGTTGTGCCAGGGACCCTTTAGGGAAAGGGAAAGTAAAAGGACAACTCATGTTACCCTCTTTCCATCAATGGAAGTGGACGTTTTGGCAGTTTCAAGAGGATTTTCCAAAATCCTCTTGTCATCTTCCATATAGAACAGGGGCGAAATCTTGGGCCTCGCAGCCCCAGGTTGTTAGAACCTTTGCGGTTCTTACTGAAGGGTTCTGAGAACCGTTCTGGTGGGTGGGCTGGCCCTAATGATTAGCCCATGATTGGTGGAGGGTACTTGACAGAAAAGGCGCCAGCGTCATTCGATTCGCCGAACCTGCGCTGCACCAGGAGATGGTGCGGCAGAGGCTACAGGTGGTAGTGGCCATGCAGCAGTCCCTTGGAATGCAATTATCCGGGAGTGCTCCCAGACACCATGGTAGGCAGGGGGGACCACAAAAAGACAACAACTAGATACAAAGATACTTGGTTGCCTATGCAAGTGAAAACGCTGTAAACTCGGTTGTTTCAATTAGTTGTGACATCTCGCGGCGAATGCCAGGGCCACGGCGTTCTTAGTGACACACCCATGGAGTTTCTGAAATTCAGGACCGACTTGTCCAGGTTTGGTTTCCTTGGAATCCATCCATTTGCTCATGAACATGTTATACTTCCCCCGGAGTCAATCACTACAGGATATATATATATATATAGATATATATTTTTCCCATAACGGGGGAAGGTACAAGGTTGGTTGTTGAGAGCCCCAACGTTCCTTCCTTTCCGTTCCCAGGATTCCTTGCCTTAAGGACCCGGTTCCTTGGACCACCCCCTCGAAGTTCCAAAGTGAAAGCCGCGCCTCCGGTGTTTTTGTTTTTTCCCCCCGCAGGTATGCGAAGTATGCGGACCCCAGCTGCCCAGCCTTCAGCCCTCACGAGCTGGATGCGGTGGAGGCGCGTCTCAGACCCCGCGAAATAGGATGCAGCGTTTTTGTGGTTCACACATGTGGCTCAGAATGGACCCCTGAAAATAGGAGACCCTGGGAAACCAAAAAGGACACCAACCACTTGGAGGGGCCCATTTTTTGGATGGGCTTTCAACAAGGACATCCAATAACTTGAAAAACCCACAAAAAAAGGAAGGAACGCCCACATGCAGAAGGCAAAGAAGCATCTGCTTTGTTTAGTTTGTAATGCTTTTATGTCTGGATTGCAATAGTCTCTAGAATCCCAAGGAAGGCATACTTATAAAACATGCTTTTCCAATTAGACATCAGGATGATGTAAACCGCTATGGTATGAAACACACACATATGAATAGCTAAAACGAAAGTCATAAAATAAGCATTCTTTAGAAGACAGAAATAAAGATGAAAAATAACAAATACCATGTGAAGATTTCTAAAGAAGGTAGACCACAAGGTGCAACATCAAGTGATAGAGGTATGAATGAACATATTGATTATCGATAAGATGCAGAGATGAAAGAAGGAACCGATTTTTTTGTTGAAAAAACTGTTCAATCTTTTATGTTATTACTATCTATCGTCTTTTCTTAATCCTACATTCTTGTTTTTAATCTTGAACATTCCAAAACCAACATTGTAAACAAATAATAATCGTGGCTACCAATAAGTAAATAGGCAATTGATAACGAGAAGATAATAAATGTCATTCCATTCTTATCAGTTCTTTTTAATTGATATTAATTGTAATTCTAATGTTGGATCGCCTCATATCGCATTATAATGCATCAATAAGAACATATTGTGTTCATCTTGAACAATGCAAGAATTTTCACTGGCCGGTTTGACAGGCCACACACACACACACGCAGCAACACTTCCACAGACACAGAGACACACAGAGACGCACAGAGACGCACAGAGACACACAGAGGCTCACAGAGACGCACAGACACACAGACACACAGACACACATACACACACAGACACAGACACACACACACACATGCACACAGACTGAAAGACAGAGACACACACACACAGACACACACACACACACCCACACAACACACACACACACACACACGCAGACACAGAAACAAACACACACACACACACAGACTCACAAAGACACAGACTCACACAGACACCCAGAGACACACACAGAGATACACAGACACGCAGAGACACAGACACGTAGACACTCAGACTCACAGACGAACTTGTTTATTCGCCTCTCAGCCGCTGGATGGGTGCAAATTGGATTTGCTTCACTCCCCCCACGCATCTGGGAGGTTCCTAAACTCGCGTACCCCCCCAATGGAGCTTTGAGTTAAAGAGGAACGCAAGTGAGCTAGTCACACCAACGGTTTGTAGCGGGTCCCCATGTGCAACACATGGCCCCTTGCTATGGCTCTTTTTTTCAGAAAACTTGGCGGTTCCCAGCCTTCAGGTTCCTTGGGTTTTTGGGTTTGTAGGGTTCCATGTTCACCCACTGAAACTTAAGCTTTTAGTAGGGGATCTGAGTACAGCCCATAGAGGCCTTTGCTCGACCGATTCCCAGGCCATGTTCGCCACCTTCGGCGATTGGCTGAGCATCGCCTACATCGAGGAAGTGTGGAAGTGTTGGGAGTTTGTGAAGCCGTTGGCCGATCACCCCCAGGGTTGTGGGTAGGGGTTGTATCACGGAGGTTGCAATTCCCACAACCCTTGCAGCATTTCCCTACGGGTGCTGGGTATGAGTCAAAATAAGGACTTGGACCCAAAACGGATCTGGAGGCGTTCTCTTCGTTTCCCCTTGAAACGGACCTGAAAAAAGGTAGCAAACACACGCACATATACACACACACCCCACTGCTGACCGTGCAACCATTTGACAATGATCCATGTGACATGCGACCTGAAATGCCCTTCGCCATTGGCGTGCTTGTAGCCTCTGGGAATGATTTAACACCAGGTCACAGACGGTTTCAACTCAAGCTGGAAGTGGGACGCCATTGTGACTTTCGGCTTCTTGGCTTTTTTGGTTTCTTGGCTTTTGCCTTTGGGCTTTTGGCGTTTTGGCTTATGGCTTATGGCCTTTGGCTTTTTGGCTTTTTGGCTTATGGCTTCTGGCCTTTGGCTTTTTGGCTTTTTGGCTTTTTGGCTTGTGGCTTTTTGTCTTTTTTGCTTTACTTTTGTCTTCGGCTTTCCGAATCCTCAGCATCACCAGCGACACCCCAGCATCACCGACTTTTGACTTGTTGGATTTTTGGTTGGTGGCTTCTTACCTCCCAGGTTTCTGTAGATGGGGGGGCTACGCTCCCGCCTCAAAAGGCAAGCCTACGACCCTGAACAAACCCCAATGAATCCAGCGCCCACCCTAAACCCACGTTGTGGCCCCAAAACCACCCTAAACCAACCTAAACCACCACTAAAACTAGAACCAACCTTAAAACCAAGCCGCCAACCCTAAAGAAACCCTAAGGAAGCCTTAAGCCAGCAAGACTCCTAAAGAAATCCCTAAACAAACCCACTCTAAACCAGCATTAGACTATCTCTAAACCAACTCGAAACCTACGCTAAACCAACCCTAAACCCCCAAACACCCTAAGCCAATCCTTAAACCCACCCTAATCTCACCCGAAACCAACCCTAAGTCCGCACTAAACAAGCCTTAAAACCCCCCGCCAAGCAAACCCTATACTAACCCTAACCCCCCGCTAAACCGACCCTAAAGCTACCCCAAAACCAATCCCTAACCCCCCCCCTAAACAGGCACCAAACCCAAACTACCCCTGTTCTAAACCCACCCTACACCAACCCTTAACAAACCCAAAGCAAACCTGACACCAACCACCCCCTACCCCCCCAAACAAACCAAACCAACACTAAACCATCCCTAAGCCACGCTGAACCACCCTGAACCACCCTAAGCCCACCTAAACACAACCACAGCTTAAACCAACTCTAAACTCACCCTAAACCAGCCCTAAACCCCTGAACCAAGCCCAAGAAGCCCACCGTAAACCAGCACTAAGCCATCCCAGTACCTGAAGCGCAGCCACCCGCAAACTTGCCCTAAACAAGCCTGAAACCCACCACGAACCAACCCTAGCCAACCTTGAACCCACTCCTAAACCCAGCTTAACAAAGCCAACTCGTGATGCTGAGGATGTTGAAAAGGATGCTACCGAGTTAAAACGATGCCGGGGATGTCGAACCACATCAGAACCAAAGGAGATCGCACCTGCCAGTTCCAGGAGAGAAAATCCAGGAAAAAATCCCAAACAAAACGAGAAAAGTCAAAAAACAAAACCAGACCCTTTGATTTCCCTGATTTGGTCCATTTTTAGTCAGGTTAACCTGTTATTTTCTTGGGTCCCGGGACCAACTGAGAGGAAGGGAGCTGAACAAATCAGGAGCAGTCGATGGGCGACGAGACGCGGTACTTCTCCTGCCTCATCGACGCTTCCTGCGACAAGATCCCTGTGGGCGTCGCCACCGCGCGGCGCCCCAAGTTCCGCATCCAACTGCCAGGCTTCCCCATCCTGGGCCACGGCAAGAGCGACTGGGCGCTGGGTTATGGGTCGAAATAGGGATGGCCCCCCAAAATGATTGGCGTTTTCAGGTTTTGGCTTCCTTTTGGTTCCTGTTGGTTTCCCTCTAAACCAACCCCAAAAACGGGCACCCTCAAGCCAAATACAAGCCCAAGAAGCAAGGAAACCCCTGTTGGAGGAGGACCAAGCTGTTTCTTCCAGATATTGCCCAACCCAGTTCCAACTGGTGCCATTTCCTTTATGGACCGACGCACATCTTTGAACCCGACTGCGAGACGCGCGAGTCTTTCGAGGTGACAATCAGAACTGCGCGGTGATCTTCACCAGGGGCGAAGTGCTGCAGATGATCGACGCCAACCAGGACCCACGACGGCAGCCGGATCGTGGTTGCCGTGGCTTGGGATCTCAGGGGCGAACGCGAGGCTTGAGGATCCAGAGGACAAAGCGGGGGAGAGAGAGAGAGAGCGAGAGAGCATCCAAACAATAAGACGCAAAGACACGAGAAAAGGTGTCTCTGGTAATTCCTTTTCCCCGCGTGAACTCAAATGAGGGACCGGAGACCAATGAGTCTACGTGTGGACACAGCAGGTTGAGTTGGCCTACTACGTGTAAGTCAGAGGTGGGCACCGAAGTGCAACTTTCAACAGAAGACCAGAGAGGGCATGGAGTTCTGAGACACACCAAGCGATGGGTTCATGCCACATTCCACTTTCGCCTACTTCGGAGAGGTGGTGGGTAGTGCCACTGCTTCCAGTAGTTTCCATATATGAAAGTGGTAAGGCTTTGGCTGCCAGTCAATCGAGCCTTTAGATTGCCTCAGCTGGTGAAGTTCCTTGTCTTTTGGGCATGGTTGTAGGGCCCATTCTCTGTCTGCCAAGGCAATCTCCTTAGATGAAATGGATGACCCACTGTGGTGCCACTGCGGTGCCACTGCGGTGCCACCGTGGTGCTGTCGGTTTCATGGAATTCGCTCGATTTGCTGCTCCTGTTTAATTATATATATTTTTGCTGACTTGCAAGCGAGTGATGAGCAATGGCGTACCTCCAGTGGATTGCGGTTGTGGCTCAAACTCAAACAGCCGGGGTTACGCAGGTTTTAGTCTAAGTTTCCATAAGCCAAGGTGCCATTTTGCGGATTCCGCCTTTTGAGCCACAGCGACATGGGGCGCTTCCATCGGAATCCGCTAGAAGCTGGCCTTGCAGGAAGCCTACTTCGAGGCGTCTCTCACTCTGCCGGCGGCTCTGCAAGAGTTCTGCGACCCCGAGCGCACTCCGCATCCTGGTGACCGAATCGGCCCAAAGCGGGTCCGTTTTTCAGGGCATCAGTGTAGGTGTCCTTTTGATCGGTTAGTTTGGTTAGAAATAGACGGGTTCCATTGGTTTAGATTGGTTTTAGTTGATTTTGCGGGGGAACCCAACCATTTTTCCAAAAGGGGCAATGGGCATGAGGGGTTTAAGCCCCCCATTTGGAAGGTCATGGTGCGGATGTATCAGAAGCCGAGTTCGGTTTGTTGCCAGTGGTTTCCATTCATGGTTGCGCAAACCAATCTGCAAGGCCCAGTTTCATCATGATCAGAGATAAAAGGCGGGTCACCCTTCCCCCCTACAAAAACGGAGAGGTTGAGTGGCTGCATTTGTAAGTCATCTTTCGCCAGACAGCATGTTCCATCGGGCTTCGTGAAATACAAATCGGGGGAACCGCTTCCCAGTTTCTCTGATGGTTTCCACTGCCGGCTGTACAACTCCACTAAATGCAATGTAGTGGACCCTCCTTTTGAATCTTCCCTAAAAGTTGCCCCAAACCACCCCAAAGCCCATCTGCGCAGAGACCCATGGCTTTCAGCTGTTGGGGAAGAACACCCTGGTTCCGGTAGTGGTTGGTTGGTGGAAGCCATCGATTAGGAAAGGACGCCCCGGCATCGTGGGGTTCCGGGAGCATATCTTCTCGGCTGTGGGCCTGCTGGGGCGAATCGCCGCGGAGCGATGAGTTTTCTTGTCGTTTCCGCGATCTCGAGTAGGGCCCAGGTCCCACCAGGTGGTTCTGTTTTTTCTCAGATCAATCAGGCAACCCCGAATTGGTGGTTTGGATTGGTGGGGACGTGAACCCTGGTTCTGGCAGAGGCCCAACCTCCACACCTCCAAACTACCCCAAGAAGAAAGGACAATGGAGAAAGAAGATACCCTGTTCAAGGGATGGTCAGCGGCAAGGGTTGCAGACCTTGCCCGTGCTATGGGATTGCGGGGTGGAAACATGGTGCTCCTGACCAGCGGCATGGAAAGCCATTTGGCTGTTGATTTTCAACAGGGCACCCCGAAGACAAGTGGGAACAAGTCTCTTGGGGTTTCTCATCTGTTTTTGGCCATCCTGCGTATTTCCCTTTTGGTACCCGCCCACCAATTGAAATGGAACCTGACTTTGTGTCCCTTTAAACGGAAAAAAAGGTCCCAACCAGGACCCCCCCGTCAGGTTCCGTGTTGATTGGGAGGGTATCTCCCCTTTTTTGGGTATATCTCCAAAAGCACTTTGGAAATTTTCCAAAGAACCACTTCCTTTTTGGTATCTCCCCGTTTTTTGGATTTCCTCATATCTCCACGTGGGACCGTCCCACAGACTTTCCGCGAGAGCCGGGCTTTCGGGCGAGCGCCGGCGAATGAATCGATCGCGCAGGACAGCGAGTTCACCTTCGGCACCATGATCCAACGGCGACCCGGCGCGAGAAAAAGCCTCAGCGAGACGTCGAGGGCCGGTTGAGGTGTGTCTTTTTTTCTCGTTGTTTTCTTCTTTTATTTTGTTTCTTCTTTTTTTCCTTTTTTGTTTTTGTTTTCTCTTTACTGATGATTCAGCTTTTGGTTTGGCTTTAAAGGGAAGCCAAAACAAAGCCGCTGCATTATTTTTTTTTGGGAGGGGATCCAAGCTGACCTATTAAGAATGCAGTTGGCGATGGGCAAAGGCCAACCCTGAGCTTCACAGTTTGGGAAGTCAGGGCAGAAGTTAGCCAGTCGATCGCTGCTTTGACCATCCAGCCATAAGTTTTGGCTATGCGAGGGCTAAAACCCAGGTGACCAGTTTGACGGGAATTCGGATCTATCACTTGCCTCGGTTTTGCTTCCACGAGACTGGCGCAGCCGAAGGTTTTTTGCGAGCGCTTCCGGATTCCGGGCCGCGGGACCCCGGAGTTTCATAAGCTGGTTTTAAGAACAGGTCCCCTGCCCATGGCAGACATGTGCCTCAAGGCTTGCACCCAACTTGAGACAAACGAAACTGTAGATCCCCAAAGGCCAAGTTCAATGGGGTTTCTGTGATATCTAAGTTTGGGTTCATCAGTCTAGGGTTTCCCTTATCATTTTATCTCCAGCAAGACAATCAAACTCAAAACCAGTGGATCCTTTTTTGGACGTTTGGAGGTCCTGGGGCCTCAAACTTCTTCGGGACTGGCGCTTGCATTGGACTCGACCGAAGGGGGAGGCTTTCCTCCGTTTCCCTTTTTGGAGTCTCCCAAAGTGGAGATCGATCGTTTCAATGGACACTACCAGTCAATTGATCAAACTTTCATTTGCCGAAATCCAGATGATCCCAGGCGAGCACGTGACTCAATTGCCATGTAAGTTCGCTTGATCTGTGCAACCCCCCCCACAGATAAATGGATGGTTTCTCTTCCGTCCATCAATTACAAGGGTACCCTCAAGAAGATTAACTTGTGCAAAGTTGTTTGAGCTTGAATGTGCTCGTGTTTTGAGGAGTTGATGCCAATGGTTTGAAGGAACCAACTTGAATGCTGAGCGCATCCGTTTGAATCTGGCACATCCTTTTTCATGGCTGGCGCCTGTGATGTGCCAACCTGTCAAGCCTGCAGGGTCCAAGTACTTGCTGAGGATGGTCAGCCTATTATGACCCTCTTGAGCCTAAGTCAGGGTTTTCAATCTGTTTGTTCCCTACTTGCTTCATATTTGGCGAGTCATTTGGCCCGTTACCAAAGTCTTGTGCGGCTAGGTTCCTTCACTTGAGTAAAGGTCCAAAACGGTTCACCTTTTTCTGGTCTGTCACATACCTGGTCGACCTTGCTTTCTTGCTGTGGCCAAGTCTTTCAGGCTTCCCTACATGTCTTTTGGTGGTTTCATACATCATCTTGTCCCTGGGGTGAGTTTCCCTTGGAGTGATGCTTCTTGCCTTTTCGGGGACGCCCCCAATTGCTGGGATTTCCTGTTGTTGTCCCTTCCAAACTGCAACAAGAAAGTGCCACCTCCAAAAACAGACGAGCCAGCCCACCAACTCCAAAAGAAAGGCAACTCTCCACACACACACACATACACACAAAACAACCGGGGCGATGCGACGGCGGAGTTTTCGGTCAACTTCTTTTGTTTCGTTTCTGAGGACTTTGGACTGGCCTCTGGCGGCCCGGTTCCACTATGGGCACCCGGATCTCATGGACAAGCTGCAGGTGGTCCAGCAGGGCGGAGTCTCCAAGGCGAGTTTCCTCGTTGCGTCGATCGCGGGGTTAGGGGGTTCCTCGAAAAAAGGGGCGCCGGTGGTGGGAGTGGTTGTTCATATCAACCGGGTTTTTTGTTTGGTCCAGCAGTAATTAGGGGGAAGAATGACCATCAACTTCCATTTGCTTAAGAACTTGTTTTACTTCCCCTTGTTGGTTTTTTTCCAGGGGGCGAAGAAGCAAATAGAAGTCAAGATTGACCATGGGGCGGGTTTTCTAAGGCTGCGCGCCATGTCAACTCATGGCAAGTCACCGGTCTGACGGGGCAAGTCAAGCCCGGGAGTGGCCATTGGTTTGGTTCGGATTCCAAGCTGGGGGCGTTTCTTGGAGTCGGGAAGGGGGGGCTCCGCTTTTTTGCGGAAAAGGGACACCTGTACCATTTTTGGGGGTTCAAGAAAAAGACGAGCCAGCCACCTCTGTAGCTCACGCTCATGATGCCCATGTGGGTAGAAAGAGTACCCGACGGGTTTGAGGTGAGGCGCTCAGGGCATTGAGGTTGACATGAGTCGAGTTGTCAGCGCGATTTTGTTTTTTTTCATGGGATGTGTGTTTTCTTGGGCGTTCGCTCGTTCCATGTTCAGCGCTTGCATTCTCTAGGGCGTCCACCATTGATGTGAGTCCATCGATTTGCGTGGGCCCCAATCAGCCGCAGCATACTGCTTGGGATGCTTGAAGTTTTGTCCCCGGCAGATCAGGCGCTTTTGGTTGGCGCAAGGTCCAACAAAACCATGGCATGCCAGCGGGCCTTTTGCCGCCAACTTTGCGTACACGTCTACTTGACAGTTGCGATCTTCGCCCTCCCCCATGTTTTTGTCCAGGCCCTCAAGATGTTTTTCCAAGCCCAAAGTGCGTGCTACCTCCACCTCTTGGCTCGGGTTGTTTTGGTAGACCATAGTGGTGATAAAGGGATATCCGAGTATTTTTCTAGGGCTTGATTCCCCATCCTGTTCCACCATCCTTCTTTGCAAAACAAACGGCTGTTTTCCCTGGGTTCAAGGAGGATTTCTACGTAGAAAGAAGGATCCTAGAATCTTGGCTGTTTTAGAGAATACATTGCGATTCCTGGTTGTTTTTGATTGTTTCAGAATCTACCAGGGCCATCTATTTTTAACCAAAAGGGACACCTATGGTCCCAAAGGGACTTTCGCCCTTTTGCTCCTTCGCAGGGCACAAGGGGCTTGAACCTCTCGGAGGACATCTTCGCAGGGCTGGACCTTTCCCTGAGGGGTGGGTGGACGGTATACCGGGAGTACTTCCATGTGGGCAAGGCGCCAGTTTCGCGAGAGATGAGGGTCCTCTTGGGTTTCAGTCCGCAAAAAAAGGGCTGTGCATGGTGCCCTCCATAAATTTGTCCAATGAAAGGAGTTGGTTCTCTTGGTTGCAAAACATGGTTTCGGAAATCAAAGTTTCGAATCCTTTCAGTGAGAAAGTATTTATGGCCAGTTTTTGGTGCAGATATTTCTTGTGTGGGCACACCGAGTCGAGAAGGAAGGCCCGAGGAAAAACCACCAACAGCAGCACAGTCGTGTGTCTGGAGCTGGGTTTTTAAAACTATATGTGGGTGGTTCATTTTTTGTTATTATTTCTTTTCTTTCTTTCTTTTTTTCTTGTGGAGTTGGTACCCCTTTTTTTGGATTTTTTTGGGAGAAACCAAAAAGACAACCTATTTGTTTTTTTTTCCATTCGCCGTTCGGCGATTCGGCGTGCACTTCCAAGCTCCCAACCAGCATGCGTGTTCCATTTGGGGGAAAGCCTTGCCTTGGTTGAGAGAAAAAAATAGGTGCGCGTTTTAGGATACCCTTGTTTCGGTTTTGGCTTCGGTTTGCAGAGTAGCCTCCCAACAAGCATGGTTTGGATTATTCAAGCCCCTTTATGGCAAGGCGACTTTCCATTTGGAATGGAGGCAGATTGGAGTGTACGCACAGCAGCGCAGGGGTGAAAATGCAATGAAGAAGGAAACAACATGCTTCATCACCTGCGAATGGAAGTGTTGAGCAAACAAGTCGGAATCGTATCATTGCGAGGGCAGAGACATGGGCTTTATGAGCGTGCTGTCTTTCTACGCGAAAGTGTCCATGGGGAACGCTGAGCAGGCACGCGGGAGGGGGGTGTTTCTGGGAGTACTCCCTTGCAGACTAATCGTTAACACTGAATCCAAAAAGGACATCTTTCAAACAGGGACTCCTCGGAAAGCCATGGCATTTTGGGTTCCAATTTTGTTCGCCGGCGTGCATGGAGAGAATGCTTGCCGACGCTGTGGCTTCCACCAAACAAATGAGCGCCAAGACCCCCACTGGCCTTCGCATCTTAGTATTGAGTTGGCAGGAAATCCTTCTGGTTGTCTGGAGAGGCGTAAGAAGCCAAGCGGCTCTGCCACAGCTCATACGCATCCTGCACCAATGAGAGGGAGCTTTCAAGTACAACAAGCTCGTGCTGGAAATCCCTCACTTGGTGAAGGATTGCGATTTGCCAAAATCCATGACTGTTGGACAAGGTGTTTGGGTGCTCACCGGTTTTCCCGCGCGGCCCGCAGCATCACACCCTGAGTTGGGGCGGATTTTGCTTGGCGTGAGCTACTGATTTCCGCCTCAAAGGTGGACATGTTTAGGCTACTTTCGGCCTCAACTACGCCACACGTGCGAATCACAATGCACATTCCAGCACCGGCGCATACCTCAATTACCCAAAGCTGACCTGTTTGACCTTTCGGGTTTCCTTTTGTTGGTTCATTTGTGGTCAAGGTTCCAAACATTGCGCCCCTATATAATATGTATATATGATATGTGTATATTTCTACGCATAGTGTTGATTCATCAATTCATTTGTTTCCAGGACCCTTCGACAGGTGATATACGGGTTTCGAGGTTGCATATGATGGTTCAGGGTAGCTCTCTGGCTTTGCTCAGGTAAAGACTTGGAATCCGCAATTGGGAGGCTCGGGGCAATCCTTTCCTAACCTAGGTCCCCCAGTAGTGCCCTTTTACCTTCTTTTTGGGGGGGAGGGTTCCCCTACTGAAATAGACTACAGAAAAGGGTACCCCTATTCTAACCTCTCTACTACAGGACCTGGTAACAAACCACTGCCCAGGGAACATAAAAGTGGTTGTATTTTTCATTGACCCTGCTGGGGAGTAGTGGTTCGGGGGTAGCGGAAGCCAGCTTGGATCTTGGATGTTCACTGCACTTCTCTCCAAAGCGAGCTTAGAATCGCAAAGAATCCATTCGTGGCCGTCCCGTTTCCGGAAGGGTTCCAGCGCTAGTTCCCTTTGCAATGCCCGCCTCTTGCAAAGGCCTTCCTTCAAAACCTGTGGACTTTTGAGTGAGCTTCACTTCGGTGTGACGGCGAAATGCGCGGAACCTCGTCGAAGTGAAGAGCAAACCCCGGCGCCCGCCGCTTGGCCAGGCCATCACCAGGCAGTGGACGCCCAGCTGCAAGTGACGGGCGGGACGGGTCGGTATGGCCTGGGCTTCCGGGTCCTTTTCGCAGTTGAAACGAGGATGGGAAGATTTGGGGGTATGGGTCAAAATTTAACCAGGAATCGGGCCGCAGGTTTTTGTCCTTGGTTCCATTTACCAGGGCAACCCATTTTGGGTACCCATTTTTGACCCACAGCCATTAGGGGGTTTGGGTGGGATACGTCTCGTCCTGGTTTGCTCCTTGGGTTTTGGGCCCTAGGATCAATTTCCTTTTGGGGTGCTAGGGGACAACTCGGAATGGGTTTTCCTCTATCCCAATAATGGAGTTCCTTTTAAATCGGCTACCCAAAACAAGTACCCTGGTTCTCAGGTGTAAGGCATCGACCCGCCAAGCAGTCGTTGTTTGTGTTTGTTGCTAGGCCCTTTAACATCGACCCGCCCAAAAAGTGTCTTTGCTGCTGTGTTGGTGAGTGTTGTTTTTGTCAAGCAGAAAAGCCTTCTTCGCCCCATGGGACACCAATGTGGGTTCCCTTCAAAATCAACCAGCAAGAATCCTCGCGTCCTTTTGGCCCTTGAAATCAGGCCGCGAAGACGGGGCTCCCCGTGCACCGTGGGATTTGTCTCAACACGAACCCTACACAATTTGGGTACCCTCAAAAACACTAAGTACCACACCTACCTTTTGGCCCATAGGAAAGGAGTTTTCTCAGCTGATCTTTGGTTGGACATATCGTTGACATATCCCATTTGTGTCTAGGGAACCCCCCTCCCCCGTTTTTCAATTTTGGTGGTGGTTTTCAACATTGGGTTTCCCTGAAGCCTAAAGCCCGGCCTTTGAAGGGTTTGCCTCAATACCCACACGCCTGGGCGCCAACAGTCAGGATTCCCTCCAATGTTTGGATTGGTTCAGTGTGGGGTGCTTTCCCTCCGCAATCGGTTCAAATCCCCAATTCAAAGCACCAATTAGGCGGTACCTGATGGTCGTGTCGTCTTTTTTTGTTTTTAAAGGACCCCCCCAAAATGGTGTGGTTTCCCTTTGCTTCCCGACTGACCCCACCAACTAGGGTGGCTTCGGTTTTCCTTTGGGCTTCCCCCAAGCCGCCCCTTAAAAAAAGGGTACCGCTCGCTGGGTTTTCAACTCCACAGCTTCGCGCCACGGCTGCCTGGCCGCCCAACTGGCCGAATCCAGGATGCGTTTGGGCGTGCACTTGGAACTCCAGCAGCTGCTCGGGGTCTTTTATTCCCACATCGGGTTTTACATGAACCAGTGCTACGTGAACCGCGCCACCAAGGCTTGGTGAAGCTTATGTGACGCATTTGCCTCCAATGGCAATTGGTCAGGAGATGCTTTGTCCTTGCCGGGGTTAATTAAGTTTGGGTAAGGCCCTTGGCGCGCCAGGGCCAAGCAAGTTAGAAAAGACTGTGTCGTCTTTTCTTTAGGGTTCGGACCCCACCTCCCACCCAAATGGGGCAACGGTTGTTCTTTGGCTTTCTTTAAACTGGGTGGCTCGCCTTTTTTGGGAGTTGATGGTTTTTAAAGGGCAACCAAAAGGAACACCATTTCGGAGGGTCCCCTAAAAAAGACGAGCCACCAGTTTCTCCGCTCGCCCCACTCAGAAATCGCGCGGTCGGTCGCTTTAGCAAGCGACACGGAAAGGTCCTTGGAGCCTTCTCGAGGTGGTTTGGGAGCGTTCGGAGTATCTTTCTGAGAAGGGGGAGGCTCCAAGTCGGAGTTGAAGACAACAAACTCAAGTTCCTGTGAAGTTGTGTGCAGCCCACCCAACACGAACCTTTCAAAGCAAAGCGAGTAAGAGTAAAGGTGACATTCCGTTGTACATCATTGACCTCCGGCAATCCATCCCTGCCCAGTGCTACACAAAACAGGCATTGAAGCATCTTGAATCTGGATCCAACACAAAACTCTCACATGTGTTGATCTCACTCGACTGACCGCTTGGGTGCCAACAAAAATCAAAACCCGGATTTTGTGTACCAAGCTACTTGCACCAATTCTTCAGCCCTGGAAAAAGGAACGTTGCACAAGCGTTCACAAAGTTCGGCACCCACGGTCGCAGAATGAAGGTGCCCCGTCTGTACAGGCCAGCCCGCACACACCTCAACACGTTGCTTTTTGGGGGAGCGATTTCAACACCCGCGCCACAATTGTCTGAAGGCGCAGTCAAGAGGTGGGAAGAGAATGGGTCCTGTTCTCGGGGGTGTCATTTTTGAGCGAATGACAAACTAAGCATTGGGAAAGCCCAGCATGTCTTGGCTTCTGAAGCCCGGTGAAATACCAGACAGGGGCTCGGTTTGAACACGTCTCAGGATTGGATTCCGTGGGCCGGTAGGCTAGGGATTCTAACGCAACGAGCAACTGAGCCAGCTTCGGTGCCTAGTCATTGGGTTGGCAAAATCAATGTTGCACGACCCCATTTACACGAAGCCCTGAACCCGAAACATCAGGAGGCTTTGTTCAGGTCACTTTGGGACACCTTTTCAATGTTCGGCGACCGCCATCTGTGAAAGCATGTGTTTGTTCTCGGAGAATTATTGCAAACACACTCAGGAAGTCCAAACCCCCATGTCACCCTACAAAAGGAGACCATGATAAAGCAGGGTTTTCCGCCAACCCAGTTTCACCGGGGTTTTGGACAATCCGAAAGTTTACATGAACTCTGGAAGCCAGGCTTCAAGGGGTAGGAAAAAATTAGGCAACCAGCCATATTGGGGGGCCCCTCACAAGGTCCTTAGTGATCACCAAGTGAGAATTGACAAGCCAGGCCTTTTGCTTTACTGCGGCCATCTTTTCCCTGGCCGGGGAGGTGCAGGAGCGATCGAAGACACGGTTCTTCCCCGCAGAAAGCCTGCAGTTCGTCCCATCTGTAAGGATCCTGGGCTTCGGCTTGACAACATATAAACTAGGTCCCAGTAGTGCCTTTCTCTCACCAACTTTTTTTGGGGAGGGTTCCCCTACGAAAATTAAAAATCGGGTACCTTTATTCGAATCTCTCTACCTGGAGGACCTAGGTAAGGATCCTGTGGGCATTGCAGACCTCCTTGCAGACCTGGCGAACAGGGTTGCCGGCCTTTTTGCATCGCCTTGAAATTTCCGGGCTCGGAGCCTGCGAGTCCAAGCGGAGATTCCTCGAGCTTTTTGGGTTCCAGCGTCTGTCTTCTGTGCTTTGGTACAGCCACTTTCCTCGTGCTTTGGATTCTTGTTGTCTTTGGATTTTTCCATGGCCACTGGAGGTCCCATCCTCCGCCCAAAACGTTTCCGGTGCTTTTTGGGAAGCACACATTAAGGACGGATGTTCTCATCCCGCCTCTAGCTGCATTTTGAGTTCGTTGGGGGTCCAAAATCCCCATTTTCACACACAGTTTTTCTTTGCGTTCAAAAACCAAGTCTTTGTCCTTGCAGAGTCACTGGAGCAACCTTGGATTGTGTTGGGAGCACTCGAGTGCACACATAGGTGCGCTGAAACGCTTGCCACTAAATGGCCTGAGTTCGTTTTGTTCCCTGAAGGAAATCACAGTTTTTGTAAGACGCCTTATTTAACCTTGCCCTCGATATAGGGTTTGCTGGGATGTGTTGAACCCGCATGCCTCTTGAAGCCAAACCCTCCTCACCTCCAAATCAGAAGGGCCAAATCAGCAGATAGGGCGAAGCTAATATTTGCCGCCGAGAAGCTTGTTGCTGCCCTCGACTCCACAAGCCGAAGGGACACATGGAAGAGACATGGGTGTTCCACTCGGCAACCCTTTTGAGTTATGTAGCTAGGCGAAACCCGGAATGTTCCTGGATGTACTGATGGCCGAAATCCTGCACCAGCTTGAAACCATGGAAAACCATAGTTTGTTGGTATTTACAGGTTGGTATTTATAGGGGAATTATTCTTCCAGGGTTTCTTAGGTGGTGCAAAATGGATTTTGTCCATCCGCAGGAGCAACGTTGTTTTGAAGGCGATACCAACCGCCTCCAAACCTTCAGCGTGCATGTCACTGGCAGGAGAGTTACAAGGACTTGGCCAATGAGATGATGTTGCTCGGTGAGAGATGAGAAGTGGGTTTTAAATGGACAGGGGGCACCGAGCCGTTTGCCTCGTTGGAACCTCCGAAAGTGGTCATTTTAGTGGAAACCGCCATTCCAACTTGTGATTTGGGGCAATCCAGTGACCCGTTTGACCCCTCTTGGAGAGTTTGCAAATTGGAACGAAACCCGACGGTGAGCTCCCAGGAGATGCCTCCAGGACCTCGGGCTCCATGTTCAGAAAAAAAACAACTGGGGCACCGAGAACAGAGGAATATGCAGGTCTTATCTTGCTGGTGCGATAAGTAGGGAATGACCGTTCCGGGTGTTGGAATTCGCCGAGGGCGTCTCCTTAAAGGAAAACATAGGCCACCTTTCGTTTCCTCGGACAGTCTTTGTTTGTTCTTGGCTAAAACCGGGCAATGTGGTTTCGCATTGCCCTTTCCGATCGAAGATCTCGTTGGCCAAACCATTGCCAGACGGATCGCCTTTTTTAACTTGATCACTTTCCCTTGCCTGTAACAATTGTTTAAGTGTTGCAGGGGGGTCAAAGTTTGGCCCAGCCATAAGGGAAGATCAGTAGTGTTGTGTCCTTGTGGTTTCTGCTCGTGGCCAAATTTCTATCCTTGTGATGATCGGGTACAACAAGCAAGCAGAGCCATCCGCTTGCGTGAGCGCGAGCCTCAATGAAGCAAATGACCCTGTCGTTCCACAAGAAGCTTCAATTTCTTCGAGCAGCTAAACTCGGACTCAATTGGCATAAGCAACAAGACCCTTCGAGTCTGCCTTGAACCCAAGCTGAGTTCCAGCTACTTTGGCTACTTCTACTTGCTCTTCATGGTCGCCTCAATGCTGCCATACGTCTTCGAGGTTATGTTGGAAGAGGGCGGCAGCTTGGCGCAATGCATTCCCTCGGCTGCTCTCCTTTTCTTACTTTCACAAGGAATACAAATTAAGATTTAGTACATTTAAACACACACTTGGGGTTTTGGGTTTTGCAAACCAGACAGACCTCCAGCACCTTTCTTCCCTGCAGTTGTCTCTCTCTCTCTCTCTTTTTCTTTGGAGGTATCGTCCCTCCCACTAACGTCGGCATCTGGCAGGTTTTTTTTTGAACAGGAAATTTATCTTCCAGGTACCCTCCCACAGGTGCCATGTTAGTGGGAGGAAGGGTAAATTAAATACTTATCCAGAAAGGGGTGCTCGCATCCCATGGCCATCTCATGGCCACTGGGAAGGACCCAGAGTGGGGCAATCAACATTTAGCTTCCTTCAACTCATCTCATGCCCAGCTTATCTGCGACATAATTTCACCACTCTGTACGCACAGGCTCACCGACTAGCATACTTTGGCTAGGCCCTGTAGGGGCCCTGGACGTTTACTGGAGGTTTGGGAATGGTACGGAACATTGCGGGAAAAGCGTATTTCATGTGAAAGGCTTATTTCAAGTGACCACGTAGATGGAAATCGATCACGCCGGTATCGCAAGGGGTAGGGGTCGGGAGTTCGCTGGCTGGCTTGGTGATTTAGGAACCCATGCATGTGAAGGCGAAAAGAGTGCCATATGAATACACCGCAAACTCACCGTGTGCGGTCCATGAACTCGTAGGGGTTTCTGTTTGGAGACCCATGAATGTATTGCCTGACTTCCTGCGTTCCTGGGCTAGCTTAAGATCAGCGTACAGTTCGGCGACCATAGATGGCGCATGATTGGCCCATTTCGGTGTGGTCATCTTACGGTAAAGGGAGTTGTGTCATCTACTTTCACCCAGTTCCGATAGGCCAATCCAGAGAGGCAGCGAGGTCAAAGTTGGGTCGGCGGATCGAGGCCTATCTGCCGTTCTGAGCCTCCTCTCCTCTCTGCTGGCGTTGAGCTCCTTGGCTGCGGCGCGGTTCGCGACGAAAAAAGCACAATGTGGGGGAGGGGCCGCGGGCGCCGGGCGCTGCGTTTTGTGCAGGCAGCAAGAGCAACTGCAACGGTGGATGTGTAAAAACAAGCGAGTTATTTGTCAGAAAATAAGCGCAGTGCCCCCTTACTCAAAGTTGAGGGGACTTACAAACAAACACACTCCAACAAAAACAAAATCAATCCGGGGGCAGAACGAGGCCTCCGTTTTCTTCGGTCCTCGATCCTCTTCGGTCTTCTTTCCAGTCCTCTTTTCTCTTGTCCCTCATCCGTCCACTTCCGCCCTTTTCGGCCCTCCTCGGTCCTCTTCCGCCTCTCTGTTTACCATTGGTTTAGAATGGTTTAGCATGGCTTAGTCTTGGTTTAGTATCTCTTAGTACTGCTTTGTCCTGATTTAGAATTGGTTTAGTATTGGTTTATGTTGGTTTAGTCTAGCACTTCTCAGTAGAACTCCGTGTTGTTTCAGTATTGGTTTAGCACTGGTTTAGTGGAATAGTATTTGTTGAGTACTGAGAAGCACTGGTTGGTCCTGGTTTTGATTTGGTTTAGTCTGGCTTTACTTTCTTGTTATGGAGTACCAATGCTTCTCAATTGTCTACCATAGGACCTTCTGTATTATTTCCTTTCAGGGGCTTCCATGTACCACGCCCTTGAACGAACATGTTTGGGTTGCTTAAATACAGAACCAAGATGTCACTTAGAATTTGGTTGTTTGTAACCTACGACAATCTCAGTCAGTTTTGCTGGCTATCATCTCTTCTTTTTTTTGTATTGGTGTTATGATTATTCTATGTTGGTTTAGCATTGATCGAGTATTTTCAGTGCGCGTGGCAGATGTTGCTTCTCCACCCTCGATTTGGAAGCCACATTTGTCAATTGTTTGACGGGAAAAGCCACACACCAGACATTTTCTGTGTTGGCTCACCAGTCGTTTGTCAGGTCGGTGAATGGCTTTGTGTTTTCACAACATAGCACTCATTTGGCATGAGCTCCCTGTTTGATTGCTGTCCGGCACTTGCAGGGTTGGCCTTGATCGGATTTGTGACCGCTGCAACCTCTCGGAGGCCATTGGGCAACCAAAGTTCCTTATGTCGTAAAACCACGGTGGCCAAGGTTGCCCACGTTTTTCTCCATTATTTACCGGTTCATTAAGTTCCAACCAACTAAACATGAAGCATGTTCCCATGTTGGATCATCATATCCGGCAAATTACAACGAGTGCACCGAAGAGTGAAAAACGAGCTTGCGGCCCACGCTACATGGCCCTTTGGGATTCCTTATCTCAGGTCTGTGAATCATGGTTGCCCAGAGTCCTGGGGGCAAAAAGACAACACCTGACCCGCCAAGGGAATACATACACACACACCAGCGACCACCTATGAGACAACTGGTCCATAAGTAATCCTTGGTCCAATCCTCGTATGACGTCCACGGGAGGGCAACATGGGGCCTCCAAAACCGTGAAAAGCTTTCAATTGCCCTCACCCCCCAGGCACGCGCACAGACACACAGACATACACAGGGTGTGGCTGAAATTTCAAGACTTCGGGTTACGCAGGTTTTAGTCTTTGTTTACCAAGGCAGCATTTGGGTGCCATATTTAGAGCCACAAGCCACAACCATATATTAGTATATGTATATGATATATAAGTGTATATGTATAGATCGATGGATACGCATAGACACAGATCTGGGTTTGCCCCTTTCTTCCGGTGTACCCTTTCCACCGGCTGAACCGGACCCCCCGTCCCCCCGTCCCCCCGTCCCCCACCCGTTTTTCGTGGAGTTCCCAAATTTTGGGCGAGGCCCGGTCTTCTCCTCCTTCCAGTCCAAGCTCATGGGCCACTTCTTTGCGTCTTGGGTTGAAATGGGCGGCTCGCTCGTCTCCTTGGTCGGTGGGACCCACCAGGAGGTCGTGGGGTTTCCTCGTGGGTTTCCCTTTAAGAACCGACCAAAAGAGGGCTTCCCTCAAAAAAAGAAAGACGGACCCAAAGATGAAACATCGGCTCGGTCTTTCGGAAACCAAACCGCATGCTCCGTACCAAAAGTCGCGACTGAAAACCGCACGGAGTCACTCCGTCGGCCTGGTGCGGGTTGCGGGAAGGAGGGAGCATCCAATCACTTTCCCCCCCCACAGCTGATGGCTATGGGGGCTCTGCCCTGATAGGCTCTGGGGTGGTTGGGGGCAGCTTTCAGGGAGGGTTCCATTTGTGTGAAGAATTTGTGAAGGCCGATTTCCAGTTGTCACAGCGGACAAGGAATTCTGATGCTGATCATGCCGAAGGGATCCCTCATTCAGTTTGTTTGTTATTGTTGCGTTGTGTGTCGGTTTGGTTTTATATGTTGTGCGGGGTTTGATTGAAACGAACAAACATTATTGCTGACATCTCAGGGGGTGGGAAGCTGATTGCAGGAATGGTCGCTGTAGTGTTGAGCCGCCTGGCCGGCAAGGGGGGAACATCGACATTCAGCCAGGGTATCCCTTTATACAACGCAGCGGAAACTTTGATTCAACCACGTCTTTTTGTTTTCAATCAGAGCAGTCTTCTCTCCCTTTGCGCCAGTGTTGTCTACGTTCCGGGTCGTTGAACACTTGCTTGAAGTGGTCCCCCTCCCAAAAAAAAAAAACACCCCCAAAACACATCGTTTTGTTTCTTCTTTTTTCCTGAAGCTGGGAGCCGATCCACTCAAGTCAGGCGCTTTGATGAGCCATTTATTGCTATGGAAGGGGCCATGAAGTGTCTCTGGCTCGTGTCCTGTTGTGAATTCTGTTGTCTTGCGTCAGGACAGCTCTTTTTCCAGGCTCAGAGAAAGGATGCTTGAAAAGGACCCAAAACACGGAAGCTAAGGGCCCAAGCAAATATGTACCGAAAGGGATTGGCGTGCGGACGGTTCGTGTGGCTTGAAATAGTATTCAGCGTTTGTGTCCCCTATGGATTGTTTTGTTTGGTTCCCTTCACAACCCCTTGGGGGAGGGGGGTAAATAGAAAAGAGCACATAAGAGCACAACCCCAAATTAGACCAAACACATGCCCTCCCCCCAAAAAAAGATAAATAAACAAATCATAAAACAAAAACAACAAAAAGCCCTAAAATAATTCCAACCACAACAAACACAGCAAAAACAGAAGCAGCAACAATGGATCGGCTCCTCCTCTCCAGGCCCGCCTTACTCAGGAGACCACGTTGAGCTACGGGGGCGCGCAGTACATCCCCACAGGGCGAGGCCTGGCCACGCGCCGCGAGAGCTTCGTGAAGAACTTCCGGACCTTCGCGGCTTCGCACATGCACGACGCCGTGGAGGCGGGAGCTGCGCCGTGCGCTTCGGAGCTTTCGAGCTGTGCGGCGCTTCGGAGCGGGAGAAATCCCGGGAGTTCGAACGGCCAAAATGGCAAGGAACTGTGGGGAAGGGGTGGAAGGCAGGGTGGAAGGGGAAGGAACCGGTGCTGGGTGAATGGTTCCTTTTTGTTAAACATAAAAATAAAATAAAATAAATAGTTTACCTAAAGGGAAGCCAAAAGGGTATAGGTGATGTTTGGGGAGTTTGCTGTGAACCCCCCTTTGGCACGGGACTTGGGCTCCTTCGCCGAGAACAGATTCACCAACATACCTCCGGAGATGGCCCACTGGCCCAATGGCATGGCATGGAAGCTTGTGGTTCAGGCTGCCAGTGTCAAGTTTCTGTGAGACCAAGGGACTATCCCGGAAAGTAATGCTATTGGAATGACCCATGTTATCACAGAAAGGGTCATGTTTCTTACCATGGGTGCAGGCGGCCGAATGGTGGCCGATGACCTTATTGGGTGGAAATGCGGTGGGGTCCCGGTGGCCGATGACGGGGTCCCGATTTGTTGTTAGCCCTGGTTTTGGGTAATCAAACGGTCATGTTGGTGTCCAGTTTAGGTTCGCATCTTCGGTTTGCACTTTTGTTTGGTTTAGGCTTCTATGTTTGGTGCACCTGTTGGGGCGATTCAAGCATCACCTGTGCCGAGTTCGATGAAGTGTCCTTTTGATCCAAGGACCTTTGAGGTTTACCTGTTTGCTTTGCCGGGCAAGCTTGAAGGAGCTTCCCTTTCGGGGAAATCCACCCATGCCCATCGATGTTCGTCGGCTTAGCGCCCCAGGGCTTGAAAGAGAAATCCCACTACATGTGGCACCATATGGCTGTGGGCCAAAGCCCTGGTACCCCCCTACCCCCGAGATTCCCTTTCAAAATGAACCAAACAAAACGGGGAGTTACCCAAAAACGGGTGTCTGGGTTTTGACCCACACCCATATGGTCCTTTGTGGGTTTGAATATCACCTTTTGGAAAGGACGCAGTTGATTGAACATGTGTCCGATCTGGAAAGTCCGGTTTCACACTGCCTGGAACACACTCAAAAGCGTTTTTTGTTTACCCCTTCGTTTCCCAAGAGAGCGGGTGGCCATGATTATTGCAAACTGCTCGGACTGTGAAGGTTGGTTGAAGGGTTTGCCCTGCAGCTGTGCGGAGGCAATTGAAATTTTATGCGGCCCAACATATTCGCAAGGCCACAGCAAACATCACCGGTTTTGCCAGTCCTCTGATTGCAGTGCGCAGATTGCAACCACTCCCATAACATGGACCCTCCAAAAGGGGCCCTAATCTCAAGAGGAGATTCGTTTGCCCCAAGTATATCACATGGGAGTGCCTTTTTTGGGGTACCCCTTTTTGGATGATTTTGAAAGGAACCAACAGGAAACCATTGCCCCTATTTTGGAGACAAGCCCATATATTGGGAACGTCTTGTGATCAAGCCAAAAGCGCGGCGAGTGCATGGGGTGTGGTGTGGCCTGTTGGGTGATAGGCTCTGGTTACTCAGAGCTAGCATTAGCGCACCAATGTCGATATGGGAGGCAACAACGCAGACCTTATAGCTGTGTCAACATGTCAGCAGGGTCTTTAAAGGGGGCCTTATCTTTGTGAAGCCAGGCAAACATGCATGTGGCGTGTTGTGTGTAAATGGCAGAGGTATCGCTTACTGGTCGCACATTGGCAGCGCAGGATGCTTACGTATGCTTGAAACGAGAATTATGACGACCTCACACGACCTCACCCCAATTGTGGTTTATGTGGGGAATAGCCCCCCAACTTCCTTATTTCAGGTTGGTGAAATATTATAATTCACCCAGAATAATGATATTTCACTTTCAGGGTGCAGAGGCCAGACGCATGTCGGCATGTCTCAAAGTCCGGCTTGCCTACAAGCGGCAGGGGCATTCGTTTGGCTGCAATTTCCAACACACCTGTCCTGTTTGAAAGAAAACACATGCAGAGCGAGCCTTGTCAGGAAAGCTATGCCAGCATCGAGTTCCCCTTGCTTAGAACATTTGGCGGGCTGGGCCAGCGTTAGGGATATGGTTGCAATCGTAGGGGTGGGGGTGGGGGTACGATTTGGATTGATCCGATTTTTCTACTAAAGTCCCCGCGTAAATCAATGGATTCTGACCTTTGCCCTTTCGCCTTACATCATCACCGCATTCCCATCCTCTCGTATGACATGTTGACGGTGAATGAATCTTTTGTAATCAGGGTTGTATATGTCGTTGTTGGGCTAGCTTTCGTTCACCCGCTGAAGTCAGGTGGTGCTCTTCTTGGCCTTCAGCTGGTCTGTGAACTATGGCGCCATGGCAACATGGGGTAGAGATCAAAGGGGAAAAGACTAGGTGGCGCTGGCGAATGATGGGCTTGTCCTTGTGTTGCAATCCTCATATATAGCCACATTTCTTGGAGTATGAAAGGATTTGGTTGCTCCTTTTCGGCAACCTTCTGATGGAAAAGGGATGGAACATCGGAGTTGATTCTCCTTCAATCTTGTAAACCTTGGCTTCTGATGCCAATGCCAATTCCCCACGTCCTTGCGAAAAGAAACAGGGTACCTGACCGGGAGGTCTCGTTGAAATGCCCGAAGCTACTCCTTTATTGGGGAGGTTCAGGGATCCGCTTTCGCGGGGTGCCGCTTGGAGAGTCGCCTTGGGGCAGATGGATGCAAGATGGATGCAAGGTTGAGCCGCCCTTTTGGTTTTCACGTGTAAGAGGAAATCCATCCATTTGGAGCGCCCCCTGATGTGGAGACACCCCAATTCAGAGGCCACATTTGGATGTATTATATATATATATATATATATATAAAGCCATGGCCGTGTTGCACCCCAAAGTGGCTGTTTTCTCGCCGAGCGATATTCACTGATTCATCCTGGTTTTTCTACCGGCTCAAGACAGGACATATGGGTATGGGTCAAAATCAAATGATCAGGGGACCTCAGGTTTTTGTTCATGTTTCTATTTACCAGGGTGCCCTTTTTTGACAACCACAGTCATATACTCGGTGACCCTTTGGGCCGACCTTTTCATTCAGCTTCGTTTTGATCCGGTTCGCGCTTCGGGTCCTAGTGCGGACCTCGATGGATTTGGCTTGTTGTTTCTTTTGGTCGCGATCGTTGACGCATGGAGTGAGGTGCGGGCTTCTACTTCTGCACGCTCTTTGCAGCGGGCTCGTGGCTCTGCGCGCCCTTCTTGTTCAATCCGAGGCTGGGACCTCGGACGCAGGGGATTTGTTCAAGCGGCGGAAAGAGAAAGACAGGAAACTCGTTGGACATTTTTGTTTGGGGGGATCTATTTTTTGGGGAAGACCAATTCAAGGTTAGCAAAGAAAAGGGTTGCACACTTTTGGAGCAATCCACGTAAGCAGATTCATCAACCAGGAAGTCTCTTGATTTTGCCGTCTATTCCTCCCAAGCGCGCGTCGTCGAAAAGAGCACAGCCATTGGAACCAGGGGCATACATTTTGCCACTCCAGTTTCCGCGAATCGGGGGTAACTCGGCACGCCCGGAAGAATTCGCGCATTTTCGGAGGTCCCCAGGGTTCTAAGGAGCGTTCTGTGGCGCCTTGTTTTTGTGATCGCCTGGTGAAAGTGGTGATCCCCCCTGCAAACGGATGGTTCCTGTTACCTTCCAGTGGCTTCACAAGGGTTGGGTTTGTCTAGGATTCAGAGCCCAAAGTCCAAAGTTTCTCCCTTTGGCTAAAGTTTGAACCAAGTCACTGCGGATCAAAGGCTTCTGTGAGTTAGACCCTCCCATTTCTTTTAATATTGGGTGGCTCGTCTTTCTTCTGAAGTTACTTTTTCGTGTGGTTTCAAAGGAACAACACAAGGAACACTGCCATTAATTTGAGTGGGACCCCTAAAAAACCACACACGCATGCCCCCAGGCAGTTCGAGTCCACGACCATAGCGCTGCGAGACTGCGCGGAGTGGATGGCTTGGATGACTTGGCACGGGGATAAGGAGGAGGCCACACGCCCGGGCGATCGCGTCCGTGTTCGCATTGTGAGGATGTCGATCTCATAGAACTAAAGGACAACTGCGTGCTGGCATGCGTACGCGGGTGGGTGTTTGTGAGATTGTGTGTTATATATATATATATATACATACACACATGTTTTGAGGGTACGCGTTCTAAGGTTCAACAGGAATACTTTATGTATTTATTTTTGTGTGTGGGGGGGGGCTGCATTTTGGCAGATACCCTCTAGTGTTGGGCGGTTCAAGCCCTTGTTGAAGCCATGATTTACACCGCACTGACTAAACTGACAAGGGGTTGGTTGGTTTAAACAAACGTTGCTTGCGCAACCTGAAAGCCTGCAAAACCCAGGTGCGGGGCAAGGAACGGCAATCCATGGGGCGGCTCCCCCGCTCCGCCTGGGAAGCGCGAACTCTAGCAGATAGATTTTGGCATGCGCATCTTTAATCAGAATCCCAAGTCGCACTTCTAATAACCAATCAGATTCGATTGTGAATTGACTGGACAGTGTAACCCCATGCGAAGCACGGGCACTCCAGTATGAACCAACCAGATGCCTAAGGCCCGGTGGAAAAAGACCTCAATCCAATCAAATCTGGGAGGTATCTCCCAGTACTTCAGGAATTGGCCATTCCGAATCCAGGAACGGTACTCTTGTCACCGTCAATTAGGGGTCGACCGGATTTACTTTTAGGTCCTCGTCCAAATTTGCTCCCCCTTTCTCGGAAAGTCACGCATTCAAATAAAACTGTTCAAGGCTGTTTTTTCGCTTTTGCCGTTCGACAGCAAAAGGCTCAATTTAAATTTCGAATTACAATTAAACACATAAATAGCAGTTACTAAAAAGGTAAATATGGGTATGGGTCAAATTGAAACCACCGGGGGACTGCAGATTTTAGTCTACGTTTCCACTTGCCAGGGGGGGTTCCATTTTGGGTACCTATTTTTGACCCACAGCCACATGAACTTGTAGTTTTAAAACACTGTGCTGGACCCATGTGTCGCGCTTCAAGGTTCAGACTGTCTCCTGAAGTGGTGGCAGGGTTTCCTCCATTTCCCGTTCTTGTCTCCCATGTTTGGAACCTTCAAAAGAATGAGCACCAACTAGTAAATTGCGACTTTGATGGGGAAATCCAGTGACCCCTGTATTTTGACCGCAAGCATGAAATTGGCGGATCTCCATGGTCTGCAGTTGGATTTTCCCTTTTGTACCTGGACTAGACACATAATTGCAGGTGTTCCAAAGCGGGCATGTCTTAAATTCGCGAACATGCAGACGTCAAAATTGTGTGCGCTTAAGCAAACATGGACTTGTCTTAAGCAAAAGGGACCCCAAAATGAAACCACTCCAAAAAGATGCCCTCAAGAAAAGACACACATCTTATTCTCAAAGTTGGTTTCCCTTATAGGGCCTGCCCCAAAGCGGTACCACAACTGCACAATCCTAAGTAGGGCACCCCTAGCGAAAAATATCCGCGTCTTTTGCAGGGTTCCAGTGTTCGACTACGAGGTAGACTCTTCACCCAGCTGACTTGCAAGGAAAAGGGCCCGGGTTTTCAGGTTCAGCTTGCACAAAATGGAGCCCTAAAGGATCCCTTTAGGCTTGGGCTCCTTTCGAAGGGTACCATTTGCCAGGCCTCCTGGTTCGCGTGGCAGGTCAGCTTGCAGGAAGCCCCGCCCTCAAGTCGCTACAAAGAGAAGCGCGGAGAAAGCCGCGAGAGTGGGTGAAACGAGTTCAGCCAGGGGTGTTTATTGTTAAAAGGGGACTCATTTAAAAAGGGGGGGTCCCTTTGGTTTCCTTTACAACCAAGAACTGGTGCCCTCAAGAAAAGATACACCCATGCAGATCCGAATTCAGTTTGCTGAATGAGTGCAGATCCAAGTTGTTTGGCATTTCTTGGGACACGGAGATAGATATGAGGTGTCAGCATTTCCTGAATTTGTGTATGGAAAACACCAGCGGATTTAGTAACATGTCCATGTCCGCTGGAAACAAATAGGTTTCACGCTAGCCCACGTCTCCGGGTCTTTCAGAGTCACCCTCTTCAGGGAACTTCTCACCCTAAGTCGAAGAGTCCTTGAAGGAGTGTAAGCCAACTTGAGTCATTTCATGAAGTTCCCCTAGGAATTTAGGAGCCCCCATTTTGTTCGCACCCCCGGTCTTCGTTGGCGGGTTTGCTTTCCTGGTGCCGCTGAAGCCAGTGAATCACATAGCTTCAGAGCAAGTAGCTCCAGAAGATACGGGCGTCATACGTTGTGGGCAGATTCTCGTGACCTTGCCACGGTCTCTCGGACTGGGCTTATGCATTGGCCTAGATTTTTGAACCAAAGGAACACCGGTGTGCATTTGGGTACGTGCCTTGCCCCTGAGCCCCCGATTTGGGCCGGTATGTCCGGTTTGGGATCTGAGATTGGGTGGCGGACACAGCCTGCTTGTGCCCTGTGTATATGCGGGGGATCTAGAGTGTATGATGGTGCATGTAGGCTGTACGTCCAGGAAATCGATGTAAAACCCAGCGTCCCAGTTACCACTAAACTAGGCCGTTTCCGTGTTTTTACCGGGTGGTTGTACAAGGAATTCTGGGGAAGGCACCAGGCGTCCACCGGTCCAAAGAACCACTTGTTGATGGTGCAGTTTCTGTTTTGAAAAGATCGGGTTTCCCATATCTGCATTTTTTGGGGAGTATAAAGGAGCTCACCATGACGATGGTCCTTTACCTGGTGATCCAATTCGTAATCCAGCTTTTGGAATCATAGTAGCATGGGTAGATGGTATGTGACATGTCTTTCTTAGGACTTCAAAGACGACTGGACTTTTTAGGGCAACGTATTTTGCAGATCCCGGGTGTCCCATAGATGTTTGTTGTATTTTGCTGATTCCATGCGTGTGTGTGTGTGTTTTCTCATTTGTTCCCCGTTGTTGTTTGTTCCAGGTGTTTGTTTGCTGGACTTTTCTGTTTTTTTTTGGGTTTTCTTTGAGGCGAGGCGCAACAAGTCGGTGCTCCAATTCATCTTCTTCAACTGCCGCTGCATGGCGGCTCTGCTGACCCTCGCCCTGGTGGCCTCGGCTTCTTGGAAGGAACAAAAGCGCCGACTCCGAGCGCCCGAAAGGTTCCAGGGACTTGGGAAGTCACGGCCGGCAACCAACGCGAATCCACCCGGAATGACCAGAAGTTGTTTTTTGTGGTAGCCACTTTTGGTTTAAAGGTCCCAAAAGGTGATCACCCTTTTATTTCCAGGTCCCTAAGGGGCAAGTGAGTGTTTGAAGGGACTTCTTAGTTTTTGTTGCCCCGCACTATTTAGGCTGCAGTACATTTGTTGGCTTGTCTTCTTATTTCAACGCATGCAGCTTTCACTCTCTTTTTTTTTTGGGGGGGGGGGCCTGGAAAGCCACATTCGTCTGGATTTTGGGGACACGGACGTGGGCCTCTGTTTGATGGACCCGATGCAAACGTTTTGGTTTCGGTTGAGAGAACCACGCCTCTTGGGGCCCGGTTCGGCAAGGCTCCGTGTTTTTTTTGGAAAATGGCCCAACACCGGGGTTGGGGTAAGTTTCCAGAATAATAGGCGAATGAAAGATCAACCTCTACATGGAGCCATCCATGGTGTGGGCCATGGCTGCCCCTTCCTTGAAATACTCCCTGCAAATTCACGTGGAACCCAACACAGGGCTCCAATTCCCAAGTCGGGGGTTCCCCAACGCCTGGCGTACCTAGGTGCATCCCTGGAAGAACCTCGCCTTCTGGCAGGCCTGCCCCTCGGCGCAGCGGCGATTCGGCAAGCTGCCGCGAAGACGAGCCGGGGACACGAGCGAACGGGTCCATGGCTCCACAAGCCTGGGGATTGTTCGTTTTTGTGGAATCACGGGAATTTTGCAGATGTATGCCCCTTCGGAGGTTTAAAGATTACCATTTGGTGCACCTTCGGGGTTTCTCTTTGGCTGGGGCTGTGTGTGTGTGTTTTATCGGGAGCACGAGAGGATTTTTTAGCTCAAAGGGCACCTCAAAATGGTGACAGCGCGCTCAATACGCGACTTGCTGCGCTTGGCGAGGCAAAGCTCGCTCCTCTAGCTTAGTAAAACCAGCCCGCACCTGAGATTGATTTGTGGCCGTATCCTCGAATTGGTGCAGATTCCAAGCACAGTAGGCAATAGTTTTACTCTCCTAGCAGCAACACGGAAACTGTCAAACGCCCCCGTGAGTAGAGGAGTCTATTTTTGGTGATGCCTTTTCTCTTGGTTCCCATTTGGCAATGTGGGTGTCTTTTTTTCAGGGGGATCCCAAAATGAGTGGTTTTCCTTTTGGTTTCCCTTTGTCACCGAGCGAAAGGGGATCCTCTCAACAAAAACGTGGTGGTTCTTAGGTTTTTGTACTATTTTCAGATGGCTTAGTGGAAGATTCCACATGTACTCCACAAGTTGGCCACTTTTAGCAGGGGATCAGAAATCGGACAGCCCAGAAAAGACAGATACATGTTTGTATTCCCAGTTTGCATCCGAGGCTTGCTTTACCTGCCGCCACTGGGGCACTGGCTTCTCGGCAAAGGGGCCAAGGGAGGGATTCGTTTTTTTTGGGGTTGGCCCGCTCGTTTTTCTTTCCTTTATTTTTCTTTTCTTGTTGTTTCTTTTTCTTCTTTCTTTTTCCGGGTTGAAAGGGAAGCCAACAGAAAAACAAAAACAGAAAACGTTGCGCCATTTTGGAGGGGCCACATCCGAAAAGACAACCATCCATTTTTGAGCTTAACAGTTCCATCAACTCTTTGATGTGTATCCCGAGTCGGCAGCTCGCATACTTCAAGGGGACTACCAGGTGCTTCGCAGTTTTGAACGCGAAGCTTGAACCACATCGTTGGACAAGGAGTTGCTTTTCAGGTGCGGAGTCCCTTGTGTATTCAAGCCAAGGAATTTGCAAATCAAACAGCAAACAAATGATTTGGAACCCTTCGCACGTTCATTTGGAAAAAGATGCCTGGAAATGTGCAGACGACAACCCTAGATTCAGCTGCCATTCTGTTCGCCGGTCGAAGCATGACGGTTCCTCGGTATGGCTTCGTGATGGCTTCGCGCCATTTCCACGGCTTGCCTCGCTACGGATCGACCTGAAAGGACCTTTTTTTTCCCATGGTCAAGGCTGGTGAAGCAGGTTTGTTGGGGCTGCCCTTCAGCCCAGATTGTCCATTGGCTCACCAAGGCTTGGGCGTTCAACCCAGTGTTGAAGCATGTTCGATCGGCGAATTGAAGCAACCTCCTCTTAGTTTCGGTCGAAGGATCAAATTTTGTCTGTTTTCGTGCACACAGAATGTACATGGTTTAAGGCCGTTTCTTGAGCTTATCAAAGTCAGAAACTGGGTGAATTCGGGAATTTTCTCTAATCATTTTCAGCAGTTGGGACGGACATGGCATGGGGAGGCTTTATTTTGTTTTTTCAACACAGGGCGACTCACTAATTGTCCCATGTCGTGTGCGGAGGAGAACTATTTCTTTTGTGGTTCATATCTCGAAATAGGTTCCGTACCCTGCCGGCGACCTCTGCCTTGTTGCAGCTTGCCCCATCACATTTGAGGGCGTTTCAAAGTGGGTTGGCTTTGACCGGAGTGATGGTTGGCTGGAAACATGGGGGGCCCTGTGTGAAGTGTGCAGAGGAAGAAAAGGGCCAGCCGCATCCAGTCCCGTTTTGCCTAGCCAGGAAGTTGCATGATGTCATGTTTTGTTGTTTTCCCTTGTTGGTTTAAACAGGGAATCTGTGACTACTGGAACATGTTCATTTTGTCCAGGAGTCTTATGGAAATGGAAGTAATGGCAAGGACGTTACATAATTTTTGGGTGCCCAACATGGTTGCACCAGACAACCCAAAGCTTGCCCCCACGAAAAGCCCAGGGAGTGTCTCGACAGCGCCGGAACCTGCCCACTAACAAAACAAAGGTATGAATAGGTGGAAGCCCGTTCGAGAGTCGCAAGCCCTAGACTAACAAGCAATAGACCTCAAACCGCAGACCCCACACCCAAATAGACTCAACAACACAAAAAAGCAACCACCTCTCCTCACAAAAAAGAAAGGCAACAACAAAAACGGACAGAACAAGAGCAAACAGCAAGCGGTGTTTCTCAGGGTGATCTGCCTGTGCCTTTCCGCCGCATTCTGCGGCGACTCCGCGTCCAAAGTGCCCTACGTGCTGATGGCGCCTTTGGCGGTGCTGGTGAGCATCCTCGAGCTGGCGCCTTGGGCCCTTGGGTCTGGGCTTGGTTTTGGGAAGCGGCCTCTCGCTCGGAAATACCCGCTCACAAAGCCGTTCCTGTGCAACTATCATCTCCTGTGCAACGGGTAACGCGTGACTAGAAAGAGAAGAGGAAGACCATTCCAGAGCGACTTAAAGGGATGGGCTCTAGTCAGGTTGGGTCTTCCTTACCCTCCATCCGCTTCCTGCCTTAATCTAGTATTGAAGGATTGGCGAGCCAGCATCTCTACTACATCTCTTGTTCAAGCTCCAGCTCTATGTCTATAGCAAATTAATGGGAACCGCCTTTAGACAGCTGCCTTGAAGGGTAATTGCTGGTTCAATGAACCCAGGAACACCCCGAGGAACGGTTTGCGTTTTTATTGACTCCCGTGCAAATGATGTCGACGAAAACACCTGCCATTCGTGTTGACCCCATCTTAATCAACCCCTGCTTATTGATCTGGGGGTGTCCCTGGGGTTTAGTGGTGAATCGTCACTGTTGGAGGGGAACACATATTTGTGAACTGGGGTTGGTTAAAATGGGGTCATTACAACTCAAGCTGTACTTCCGCAGGCGAGGGACACTTTTGAAAGATCCCTATCCCCAGGGCGTGCGAATGGGGAGATGGGTGTTGGGGAGGGCAGGCAAGGAGAAGGGGAGTGCCTTACGTCTGAAAAAGCCAACCCTCCCCCACCAAAGCAGAGACACTAACCAACAACCAAAGGAACCGCCAAACAGATACATATTTGTCCTTGTTTTCGGGGTTGGGGGGAGAACAGATTTAATTATCCCCAGGCTTGCAGGCAACCGGCTTCCCTACTTCCTGTTGGTATCCAAGAAATTGAGCAGCAGGGCCGATGCGGCTTTGGGAGACCCCAATCTCTAGAGTTGAGCGGCGTCTCGAAGCCTGTTCAGTTTGTTGCAGGTGCAGTTTTGACACCCGATCTTAGCTGGTCTGCTGTTGGTTCTGGGGGGCAGTCCAAACCTCCCCAAACTGAGGGACAACTTTTCACGGTGGGAAATTGTGCTTTAGGTTGCCACTTTCTTAGTCCAAGGGAGTCCCTGACTGATAAAGAGGTCGGATTACTCACTGATGTCTTGTTTTGTTCTCAACCATGAATCATTCAGGGGTAACCCTGAATTGGTGGTTTGGATTTGGATTTGAACCGCTGGTTCTGGAGGGGAAATGGCAGGCCAATCTTTAGGCCTCGCAAAACCACCAGTTCGGGTAGCTGAAACTCATTTGGCGGTGGGTCCAAAATAGGGTCACCCCAAAATTGCCCCCTTGTATCTGGAAACAATGACTAAAACCTGTGGTCCAATTCCTGGTGGTTTAATTTTTACCCATACACATTTTGTGTGGGTTAGACGGAGGCCGCAGCAGAGCAGCTGATGACTCCCAGCGTTCTCTTCCACAAGTACATTTGCATCCGCTGGATGCTGGAGGCGGCGGACGGCATTGCCGCCATCAAGCCCGGCAAGGCGATTGGGGGATTTTGGACTCCGAGACGCCCAATGTCTGCTGGAGTAGACTTAGGATACATCTTACATCTTACCAGTGACTCCAAGTGAAGCAAGCAAAAAAATATACATTCTATAAGTAGGCCTAACTCTAATCATGTCTGCTCCTCTTTGTTTGTAGTTGATATAGTGGTCGTTTCCACTAAACCGCTAAAAGTTAGACTTTTAGCAGGGGATCTGGGCACAGGGGTCACTGGATGTGCCCTTCAAAAGTTGCATTTTTAAGCGGTTTCTATTGACACGATCGCCGCTTTGGAGGTTCCAAATGGGAATATGGAGGATACCTTGTTGAATGAAGGGTTTCGCAAGAAAATGTCCACTTCTGAGCTTCCACCGGCCGAGGGGTAGCGGTAGAACAGGCAAGGAGAAGCACGATTATGTCAGAATCACCAAGCAAACCTGAACACACATACACACACACACACACACCCACACAACTTTTGGGGTTGGTGGAATATCACATGTCCCAGCATAGGTGTCCTTTTTAGGTGAGCCTGGTGAAGAACAACTGGCACCGGTTTGGATGGGTTTTGTTCCATTTACCAGGGCCATCTATTTTTCCAAACGGCCACCTATGTTTCCCAGCTGACTCGGAGAAGGCCCTCAGGATTTTGTCCGGGGATTTTGGATGTACTGGGGGGTCTCTTATATGACACTAAACAGGCTGGGAAGACAACGCGGCCTACACGCCCTCTTGGAAGGGTCCCTTCGTTTCCTCCCGGCGCTGTTTTGCAAATGCCCGTTTCCTTGCTGGTGCTCAGTATGTAGGGAATGACCCAGGGTTTTGGGAATGAACAGGGATTCCTTAAAGGACACCATGGGATGGCTTATAGGGGTCATTCCCTCATTCCCTGCTGAGAACCAGCAAGTTTCGTCACTGCAAAATTGCCTTTCTGTTGGCTCCCCCCAAGCATCCCCTTTTCAAGATTTGCCCTTGAAACAAACGCCGGGCAATCCAGTTGGCAAAGCCGATCTGCATTTTGGCCGGTTTCAACCTTACTGTTTGGCCATGTGTAAGTGTATTTCAGGGGTCTTAGGGACATCCCCCTGGCCCAGTCAAACAGGGCAGTCCATGAGGGAAGAGATCCATTTGGTTGTCACATTGTTTCCCACCAGAACACCGGGGGATTTCTCTGGAGAAAAAACAAAAAGCGAAGAATTGGCACAGCCCCTCTGGGCATGAATTTTTGACTGACATTCATACTCATTTATGCATCGCTCGAAACAAAACAAACAAAAAGCAACAACACTCAACACACAATCAACCAAAATAACATAAGGCAATGCGTACACACAAAAAACTGGCCTGCATGCATACATACGCATGTTACATTACACTAAGTTATGTTACATTGCGTTATATTGCATGTGTGCATGCATACATACATACATACATACATACATACATACATACATACATACATACATACGTACCTACATATATATATATATATATATATATACACACATACACACATACATACACACATAGATACGTACACAAGCACACATACATACACACACACACGCCATACACCGACCCACACCTACACCTACACATGTACATATACATATACATATACGTGCCACATACATACACATACACATACGTATACACAGGCATATACATCTACATCTACGTGTACACATGCACATACACATCACACATACATACACATATACATATACACATACATACTGTACTCATACACAGACACATGCATGCACATGCACGTATACACATATGAGAATTACACATACACAGACACAGACACACATGCACATGCACATGCACGTACACATACGCATACGGTACACATACATACACATACACAGACGCACATACATATACACAGACACAGACACAGACACAGACACAGACACAGACACAGACACAGACACAGACACAGACACAGACACAGACACAGACACAGACACTGACACTGACACTGACACAGACACAGACACAGACACAGACACAGACACAGACACACACACATACATACATACCTACCTACCTACCTACCTACATCCATACATACATACATACATACATACATACATAAAGTACTAAACGACTAAATAGGTAGATACATGAGATGCATTAAATTGATGAATGAATGAAATGAAATGAATTGAAATCAACAAAGTAATGAAATGAATGCATGCATGCATGCATGCATGCATGCATGCATCCATGAATAAATGAATGAATGAATGAATGAATGAATGAATGAATGAATGAATGAATGAATGAATGAATGAACAAATGAATGAATGAATGAATGAATGAACAAACTGACCGAACGAAAGAATGAATGAATGAATGAATGAATGAATGAACTAATGAAATGAATGAATGAATGAATGAATGAATGAATGAATGAATGAATGAATGAATGAATGAATGAATGAATGAATGAAGGAAGGAAGGAATGAATGAATGAATGAATGAATGAATGAATGAACGAACTGACCGAACGAAACAATGAATGAATGAATGAACGAACTGACCGAACGAAAGAATGAATGAATGAATGAACGAACTGACCGAACGAAAGAATGAATGAATGAATGAATGAATGAATGAATGAATGAATGAATGAATGAATGAATGAAATGAATGAATGAATAAATGAATGAATGAATGAATGAATGAATGAATGAATGAATGAATGAACGAACTGACCGAACGAAAGAATGAATGAATGAATGAATGAACTAATGAAATGAATGAATGAATCAATGAATGAATGAATCAATGAATCAATGAATCAATGAATCAATGAATCAATGAATCAATGAATCAATGAATCAATGAAGCAATGAAGCAATGAAGCAATGAAGCAATGAAGCAATGAAGCAATGAATGAATGAATGAATGAATGCATGCATGAATGAATGAATGAATGAATGAATGAATGAATGAATGAATTAATGAATGAATGAATGAATGAATGAATGAATGAGCACATGTGTAAACTAGTACATGAGCAACTCAATAAGTACATCAGTATATCAATGGTTACAAACATAAACAGATAAACTGACAAGTGTATGAATGAGCAGATGCATCATACTCATGGCAATTAGTAAACATAGTAACAATACTGCCAACAATACACATCATACTAACAAGCAAGCATCACACCCATACTCATACAAATGAGCACACATGGCTGTGGCTCAAAATTCACCAAGGTGTCATTTTGGGGTAGGTGCACCACCCATTTGAGTCTATTTTAGTGGTTGGATTGAATCGGATGTTCACTGGGGGTACGATTTGGCTTTTGACCCATGGCCATACCAATAACAAGCATGATCTCTTTAATAAACAAATTTCCGTGCTCGCGCAGGCGCTTCTGACGGTGCTGCACGACGCCTGCCGCGCCTGGGCCTTCTCCTGGCGCTTCAGCCGGGACGCCGCGGCTCGGACGAAAGCAGTGTGGGTTGGCATGGGAATCAGATGGTGGTCATGGCGGTTTCCTTTTGGTTTCCTTTACACAAAACATGGGATACACCCATACGGCTGTGGTTCTCAAATTTAAACAGGGGCTGGCTCCGCAGGTTTTGGTCCATGTTTCCACTTACCAAGGCGACCCATTTTGGAATTCCGGTTTTTTGAGCCACAGCCATGTGGCCGTGGCTCAGAATTCAAGAGCTAGGGTGACGCGGTTTTAGTCTTTGGTTCCATTTACCAAGGTGTGTTTGTTTGGTACATTTATTTGAGCCGCAGCCATGTGTGAAATGGGACTCCTCAATTTGAAAAGACTATCCACCCCGATGGTTGAGGGATAAGCCAACACACAGAGGGGAAATGTGGAATGGGTAGGAACCCATTCAGGGATGTTCGGTATTCAGCAAATGAATTTCCTAGGGTCTCCAGTCAGTCGCTCGGCTGGGTCGGTCGGTCGGCCGGTCGGGTTGGTGAGTCGAACGCCAAGCCTCAACCCCACCCACCGCAAATCAACTGGTTGCAAGCATTACTTTCATTGGAGGCCAATTCTTTTAAACTTTTTAAGCTTTTGTCAGGCTTTTCTGCGTCTTTGTTGCTTTTGGTGGCTTTTCGAACCTAGGCCCACCCTAAACCAATCCTAAACCACCACTAAACCTGGCCGAAACCCCAACTGAACCCACCCTAAGCCACAACAAGACCAACCTCACCCCAAACTAGACCTAAACCGACCCCACCTGAACCAAACCATCTCTAAAGCACGCCAAAACAGCACGAAACAGACCCGTCGAAGCCAGCCCAAGCCAAACCTAAACCAACCCTAAACCAATCCTAAGCAACAGTACTAAACCATCCCTACACCATGCTACACCATAAGCGATCCTGAAACTTGCACTAAACTAGCACGAAACCAGCATAAGCTTAAGGAAACCCCAACAGTACTAAACAAACCCTATGCAAACTGTTTTCAATCCTTACAACCCAATCTGAACGAACTCTAAACCAACCAGCCAACTTGCCCTACACCAACCCTGAACCAAGACTAAACCAGCTCTACACCATCCCTACACCACCCTCAACCTACTCTGAACCAACCCGCAGTAAACCCAGCCTAACCACAACAAAACTCACCCTAAACCTGCCTTTGAGAAACCCTACAGATTCCTTAAACCCGGCCTAAGCCAACCCTAAACCATGTCTATACCACGCAATCAACCCGAAACAAGCCCGAAGCAAACCCTATGCCAACCTTAAACCCACTCAAAACCACCCCAAACCAACCCTGCACCCACGCTAAACCAGCTGAATACCAACCGTAAACCTTCCCGATACAGACCCTGCCTAAGCCAACCTATGCCAACCGCAAACCAACACTATGGAAACCCAAGCCCCACCCAAACCCACCCCAAGCAAACCTTGACTCCAAAGTCAGCCTAAACTGGTCTGGTGATGCCGGGGGTGCCAAAAGCGAGGCTCAGGAAGTTGACGTTGCCGGTGTAAAGCAGGTGCCATCGTTACAAAAAATCGGTATTTCAGTGCCCGCCGAACCGGGGAAAACAGCACGCCCGCCGATCCAAGAAAGCAACACACCTCCTGCCCCTTTGGTTGAGGTGCAGTGAAGCACGTGTTTGTTTCTCGCACTCAGGCCCTTGGAGCGCTGATGGCTTTGGGTGGCCTGATCTTCGCGACGATCCCTGGGCTGAACTACTTGCGGCCTGGCTTGAAGTGTTTGGTCTTTGGCCCCGTCGAGCTAAGGTGCCTTGTTAAATAGATGGCTTGCGTTGGATAGAGCCAAACTAATGCAGTTTGGTTGCATTTGTATTCTCAATTCAGCCAAGCTGAAAGCACGGAAACCCGACCCAGTTTTGGTGGTTGATTGGGGAAGTACACAGCTCGGCTTGGCCACCCCTCCATGTTTGAACAGCCCCAAATGGACGGCTCGTCTTTTTTTGGAGGGTAGTTACTCCCGTTTTTGGAGGGTTTGTACAGGGATTCCACAAGGGCAACCAGTTTGGGTCCCGGTCGAATTCCTAAAGGGGACACGCTTTGGGCGAGTCGTATCCCAGTTCAGCCGTTCAGCCGCACCAGGAGTTGACTCGTCTTTGGTTTCGTGGGTCTGACCAGGGCCCAAAGTGGGATCTGTCTGTCACGTTTTTCTCGATTCGGGTCGCTTCCAGTTGGGATGGCTTGAATTGAAGGGCCACCCAACAACTTCCCATGACCCTTCTCTTGGAGGCGGATGGCCGAAATTTGAGATAGCTACAAAGAAGGGATGGGACTCTCACTGTCTTGAAGGGTTTCCTTCAACTTTGGTTATGCCTGAATGGCACACAGCCTGTCATGAGTCGCATCTTCTGACAATGATCTTACCTGCCATGCCATGCTTGCTACATGAGGCTCAGTCAGAAAATCCAGCAGTCAACGGCCCTGTGGTCTGTTTGGGGGGATATTTGGCACTCCCTCAGTTTGACACAAACATCGACTACCAACAAGAGGGGCACCCAGCGCGACCGAACCACGAGACTGAGGCATACGTTGTTCCTCTTCCGCACAAGGCGGCCAAAGGAAGAGGCACACTTCGAGTTGAACTCACTTGGGCGTTTTTGGTATGTTTGAGGAAACCCTTTTCGGAGGAGCAAAAGGACAGGGACACCCGTTTTAGTGGCATTCTAGTGGTGGAAACTATCCTGGACATGTGTGTTTTGACTGGCGACATTGCACTGCAAGAGAAGCAAGCATCCCGAGTAGTCCTCTACGGTTTTGTTTGATGTGCGAAGAATCATTGCGATTCACCATGAGTTAGCTACATCAAATAGGAGGCGAGGTCTCTCGCGCCCTGTGTTTCTAGTTGCCCAGGCGTCCAACCAGATGGAGTTTACAGGGTACATCAAGGGTCAATACTCCTGGCACATCTTGGTGTTGCTGCGAAGGGTCACTGGATTTCCCCAAATCACAAGTTGATGTCAATTTTACTGGCGGTTTCCATTGAATCGATCGCCACTTTTGGAGAAAGTAGGGAAATGGCTCGGACACCTTGAACAACTAGTCGCTTTGGATTGGAGCCCCGCAAAGATGCAACCAAATTGGTGGGAGGGCTCGGAGTGAGAAGGTCATCCAGTGACTTACGAGGCACTGGCTCCCCTGGCCCTGGATCAGGATAAAATTATGGGTGGCTCGTCTTTTGTGGGAATCGGACCTTGGGTCGCCAATGGAACCACAAACAACTTCAAAAAAAGAGACACGCATAGTCACACACACACGCACACATACATATCTTTATACATACATACAGCCGGATCTGGAAATGGCCAGGGATGTTTGTGCCCCCCCCCACCCCCGTTCTCCTCGCTGGCGAGTTTGCACCTCACCTTTTGGTCACCCAGTTTAAGGTCCATGTCCTTTGGTGGGTGATGTTTGGAGGGGCAACTTGGGACCTCCGAGTCCCAAGGACGCCTTTCTGCGGCGAATGCACATATATTTTTGGGGACCTTTTGGCGCACATCACTTCCATAGGGATGTGTGCTCAACGATGTTGAAGGGCGAACTGCGTTCCACATGTGCACAGTCGTTCAGTGGCACCCTCTGAGCCCCGTTTTGCTTGGTTCGGAACCCACTGCGCATGGTCAATCCCCAAAAGAGAGTTGCCCTTCTTTGTCACTTGGCATTTGGCGAAAAGTGTTCCCATGAAAATCCAGCCTAGGCACTCCAGTGCACTTTTCCCCACAACAGATCCAGACCCTTCTATTCGACTCAGTCAGGATTTTATGCAAGATGCGAAATGGGTGTGGGTCAGACATAGGTCCCAGAATTGAACCCTGGCAAAAGGAAAAGACCAAAACCTACGGATACCCATACTCATACCCAAATGGACTGAACCGGTTCCTGGTTTAATTTCGACCCATACCCAACTGGACGGATCAGCGGGCAACGCGGCAGGGCTTGGCGGAGGAAGACGCGGATACTTCTTCAGCCGTGGTAGATGACGATCCGCTGCTCGGTGCGAAAATGTTTGTAGAAGAGCTCGCTTTGTGGCCAAAGCGAGGGATGAAGGAAGCGGACCTCCCGTCAGGTTCCATGTGAACTGGAGTAGACTTAGGATACATTTTACGTTTTACCAGTGACTCCAAGTGAAACAAGCAATAATATATATATATATATATGTATTCTATAAGTAGGCCTAGCTCTAATCATGTCAAGTGGTGGGATGGTGTAGTAATTTGCCCATGCAACCCCCCAGCATGTTAAACATTGGCAAGCCATTGCTTGGCCAGTTTGAAAGGGACACCAAAAGGGAGGAAGCGTGCCTTGGCGTTAAAGGCATATCCTTCAAATCTACTGGAAACCATGTAAGCCTCTGAGCGGTGACACATTTCTCGAAGGATGATCAACCTAATAGACAACCACACCGAGCACGCCCTGGTAGCCAACCAATAAAGACATATGTAGAAACACATATATATATATATGTATCTATACAGAAGAAGAACCTAGTGCCGCCTAGAAATCAGTCCTACTACACATCAACGGGCAAGATTGATACAAGACTCTCTATAGGAAAAATGCAGGAACAGTATCTGAAGACTAGCTTTAGTCATGCCCCCAAAAGGTTACTGTAACTCTTTCTTTCTGTGTCCTTCTGGCAGCTGAGATAACGATCATCAAGATCACGGACTTTGCCATCTCGTTGGTTTTCTACTCAAGGAACCCGGCCAATGATTTTGAGATTTTGGGATCGGATCCAACACGATCTGCTTGCTTTATGGCATTACGGTTTCATTGACCTCCTTTTTTACATTTTCTTTGCATGTGAAGGTTCACTATGATACGGAATCTCACTGTCATGTTTAGTTCGGAAAAAGCCGGGCTGGGCAGGGCAAGCGAATGGATTCAAGTGTTCCGCCAGTACACGCGGGAATCACCTGTCCCCCTGTCTTGTTAGTGTCCAGTTGCTCGCTTGGGCTCAGGCGACATGCTCAGGGGAGCTTTGTTTACTCCAGCCCTTTCTTAGGGACCAGCACGCGTTGGAGCTCGGTGAAGGGACAAGGTTGATGTGATTTGGTTCACGCGTACCTGGCAGGGCAGGTCTGCCCACACCATTTGGGAGGGCCAAGCTGAACTGAATTTATGCGAACCCAGGCTTGTGATGGCCTGGTGAATGTGCGTAGGGTATCCAAGTTCAAAGGGGTTGCGGATCATTTTCTGAGAGAAAGACACCTCTGTTCATCCGCGAGGTAAACAAAATCCGGGACCCTTCACTGGCCTCTGAGGCTGATCAACTTCTTCCGCGCCCTGGTCTCGATTTCCGTATGATGTCCGCTGGGTATGTCACGGAACAATATTATTTTGCTGCTATATTTTGGATGTCTCAAAGAAAGCACCAAGTGCCACGGTCTTTTTGGCCTTGCTCAGGGTGGCTATGGAAATTCCCAGACCCCTGGGGAATGTAGACTACCTTATGGCTTTTGAGGAGACCATGGCCATGACCCACAGACGAGTTTGATCCCAATCGAGATGAGCCCCCGCCTGGGATTTTGGTGAGTCATATTCGCCTCTGCGATTCGCCGACGCGAGTCGGGGGAGCTTTACCCTCTTTCCAACAATGGAAGTGGACAATCGGGGGACTCGGGACCCAGAAGGAAAGTGGTCCAAGGCCTCCCCTCAGCCTCCATTGGCAGGAGGGTTGGGGGATTCCGAGCAACTGATTTCATTTGTATTGACGCCATTGATTCCAGCGCTCGTAGCCGAGGGCTGCGAGCCCTCGTTTCATTGCAATGGGTTCAAGGCGCTTCGAAGTCTATGGCCATGACTTGGGGGACTATCGAAGTTTTCTGGCAAACCAGGGCCAGATGTTAGAACATGTCCAGTAGAGGATTTTGACCCCTCATGAGAATGGCGGCAGGTATTCGGCAGGTATACCTTTCAGGATCTTGTTGCAACCAACCAGAGAGAAACACTTCAACCACCCACAAAACTGGCCCACAACCCCCCACCTCCCCAAAACAAAACCCAACAACTCCAGCGCTTCCCCACTTAAGTCGGCGGTTCCCGCCTTCCAAACAGCAAAATACTTGACTTCCCGTGGGATTTGGGCTAAATTGTGCACATGTTTTGAAACTTAAGAGGCTTCTAGATACCCTCCCAAAATCAGCATAACTGAGGGTCCAAGACCATTCAAGGGAGCCTTGTGGTATGCTTCTTTTCCGGGGGTATTCTTTGCCTACATCCGATGGGAACTACAGTCATCCCCCCCCCCAAAAAAAAAAAGAGAGCAAACAAACGTGAAAACGGATCCGCGCAACGGGCGAAAGCACAAAGTTGGCGCGGAAAGGAGGGGCCTGGACAAGCAAGCAATGGTCGCCAGGTGAAACTGTGATGCAAGACTTGTCCCAAGCAAGAAACCTGCTGCGCAAGTCGAGAAAAAACGTGGACACTTGAGGAGATTGGAGTCCCATCATTTGGGATTGCAAATGCAATCTGATAGATGTTTCCCGTGATGCTTGTTGGATAGAAATGGGTGGCTCGTCTTTTTTGGGTGCCAACAACCCGTACTACCGGAGAAGTAATATGGGTGGGCGTAGACGAGACTTGTCTAACCAAATTTATCTAAACAAATTGGTTTTGCGCTACCCCCCAAAAAAAAACACATAGTTATTAAATGGGTTCCAAAAACTTCAAAAATTGATATCACTAAAAGCAGAAGCACAATAATTATATTATATATATACACATTGAAATTGAAAAATGGGGTTAGACGAGATGACCGAAAGCACAGTCCATGGACAGTTTTTGTACACAATTTGCCACATGGGCCGCGCAGAGCGCGGATTGTTTGATTCATCATGCAGACAGGTCACAGCACTCAGATATGATCAGATCTTTTGCATTGCATGCGTTTCAGACAGAAGCTTCAATTTCGCACACGCCAAAAGTGAAAACCATGTTTTTACATGTTTCCCCCGAACAGCTTATACGGGGCCATTTTCTTAATATCTCCCCCCAGTTTTGCTTAAACGGATCTTGTTTGACCCAACATATATGTATATATATATATACATGTATAAATGTAATGTATAGAACAGGGATAGACCACGGATTTTTGATCGGTGGTTTGGACACATATCCTATACCTGGCAATGTGGGGGATGTGACACCAAATGGACAACCATGAATTTGGGGGGGTCCCTAAAAACGACACCCAAATGGAGTTTGGGAAGTGTTGCCAAACTGCAACGGACCCCTTATTTCGGCCTTGGACCCACCAACAAAGCTGTTAACTTCCCGAAAAAAGGGTCCATTGAGTCCAACTTTTTGCATCGTCTGTTTTTCTTCATCTTCCATTTCTACCCGCAACTAAAGTTTGTAGGCCCAGCAAAGCCGTTCAACCCGAATTCATTCGGGATTGGGAACAACCGGCTGAGGGTAGCCCTTTTGGGGTTCTGTAAGGAAGCCACAGGAAAGCAAAGGCCACTTTGGGAGTCCCAGACACAAAGCCATTTAGAATTCATTTGGATCTGTTTTTTGAGGGTACGCTTTGCTTTACAGCTTGCTTTAGGGGTAAGGGAAAACCACCAAGTTTGGGGCTCCGATTCCAAAACTCAAACGAGCCCATTGGTCCGTTGACTGGAGAAATTTTACGGAGGCGCCGTCTCCTTTTGTGGGGATGTAAGCGCTGTGCCTCCCAGGAGAAGGGGAAGGCTGTTTGACCTTCAAAAAACATGAAAAGGGGGCGCGTGTGGAAACCTGCTTCAGCCTTGCTGCTTCGGTGATATCAGGAAACCTTCCTTATATAAGGAATTCGTCATTTGAAAGTCCCTTTCACTGGTATCACAGAGGTTCACGGTTCACAACCCCGCTTTCTTTGAATCAGCTAATCCCCAGATTGACAAAGGAACCTCAAAAATCTGAGCCATAGAGGAATCTCTGACCCCCTTTTTTTGGCTCTGGAGCTTTAGTCACTTGGGAAGCCCATTTCAGTGGCACTCGGAAGTGAATGTAAGAAGTTTTGAGTGGATACGACTCAAAAGGACCGCCCTTCCATCAGGTTGCCCTGAATTGGTGGTTTGCGGAATTGAACCCTGGCTTCTGGGTGAACGGGAAACCTATCCTTGACCACCAAGCCAAGCCACCAGTTGGAGGGGAGCGGATTCCAGGTACCTTCGCGCCGGAGTGCAGCATCGGCAACGTCAGCCCAAGGAACACGCTCCGTGCGTCTCGGAGCACGCCCACCTTCTGACGCGCACTGAGCACGGGGCCTCCCGGCGTGAGCGCAGAAGGCAGTGGTGTGTGCCTTGATTTGCCCTTGAATGACGGACATTGCTTGCATTATACTATATTCTCGTGCATACATACCTGCATGCATGCACATATTGTTTGGCTGACAGCATGAGGGCTACGCTTCTCAAAATATTCTTGATCAGATGCCATAATGTTTGTTTGGGCGTGCTCTACCAGTGCTGCGTGCTGACTTGTTCAACGCCAAAGGTTGACACACCTAAGCGTTTATGTGTTGTTCGTAGTAGCGGAATGAGAACCAGAATCAGCACTACCCTCCCTCTAACATGGCACCTGACAGGGATTCCCTGCAAGAGGAAATGATCTTCCGGGTGCCCTCCCACAAATGCGAGATGTTAGTGGGAGGAAGGATATACATCCCGAAACCGCGGGATTTGAGCCTGGCACTCGCTCATCGCAACAAGAAAAGAAGCCCGTGCCTGGAGAGCTCGCTGGAAGGAGGTCCGTGGCGGGAGGCCTCCAGTTGCTGGCTTTGGTAAGAAAAGCATGCCGAGTGGTTCAACTTTGGGGAAAACGAAAGTGAACACTTAAGGGAGCAACTACAGGGAAACTAAACTTAGGGAAAACTTTGGGGAAACTCAACTTGGGGAATGCTTTGGGGAAATTCAACGTGCGTGTGAAGTTTAGCTTCTATTTGCAGGAGTGCGGATCAGTCAGGTCCCCGGGTTCATTGGGGAGTGGTCCCCTCATTCCCATTTCCTGAAGTCGATTGGTAGGGGGGTGTCCCCTTTTAGTGGGGATTCATCACTTTTGGAGGGAACACCCCCTAATAATGGGACGGATAAAGAAATCCTGGGTCAACATGATAGACCTTCCGGCGAGCTTCCGACCACTCCGAGGTCGGAGTATTGATTCTAAGTTTCACGGGTTACCCAGTGACGCTAGGTCACCGTGGCAGCGGCAAAGATCCGCATTCAGACAGCGAGCGGAAAACAAAAACACAAAAAAACAGGCACCGGCGGTTGGTCGTTGCGGAAATGGCAGTGGTTGTCAAAACCAATGGGATCCCATTTTGGTGTTTTTTTTGGTGCACCACACTTTAGAACCTATTTTAGTGGGGATTGGGATGTTCACTGGGGGTACGGGGTTTTGACCCATGGCCAAATGGAACCAGGTCGAAAGTACGAGACGCGTCTTGCGAACCGAACCAACCTGAAGATGTCCTGTGCACCACCAGCATACGAAGCAGTTCCAGTGGAAGCCAAGATCTGTACTATGGATGAAGGTCCCTGTTGCGTACTCAGTTCATATCATTCGTCTTGAGCTCTTTGGGAAATAAGGCTACCCATCATGACTCACAGCTGAGCTCGTAGAGGTACCTCTTCCTTCCAGAGAACCCGACTGTAGCATCAGCGGGGACCTGGTGGTGCCAGGTTCACAAAGACGAGGTACCCAGCGCTGGCCTCAGGTTGAGGCAGCAGGCTGGCAGGGTGTCTTTCCCGTTTAAGGGTTAGTAGTGCATTCATTCCTTGATTCATTGGTTTGTTCTTGTTCTTGTTCTTGCTGGTTTGGTTTGGGTTTGTTTGCTTGCTTGCTTGCTTGCTTGCTTGTTTGCTTGTTTGCTTGTTTGTTTGTTTGTTTGTTTGTTTGGGTGTTAGTTAGTTAGTTTTTTTGTTTGTTTGTGTGGTGTTTATTTGTTTGTTTGTTGTTTGTTTGCTTGCTTCCTTCCTTGTTTATTTGTGTGCGTGTGTTTGCTTTGCCTTGTTGTTTCTTTGTTTGTTTGTTTGATTGTTTGCTTGCTTGCTTGCTTGCTTGCTTGTTTGCTTGTTTGCTTGCTTGCTTGTTTGCTTGTTTGTTTGTTTGTTTGGGTGTTAGTTAGTTAATTAGTTAGTTAGTTTGTTTGTTTGTTTGGTGTTTATTTGTTTGTTTGGTGTTTATTTGCTTGCTTCCTTCCTTGTTTATTTGTGTGCGTGTGTTTGCTTTGCCTTGTTGTATGGCCACCCCCTTAAAAATGGAATCAGAGGGGGGGGGTGACGGCCGAAATTTCATTTTCCAGTTCCATTTTCGAGTGCCTTCTCAGGTTCTGGACAACGGGTGTCCCAACTCAAGCTTAGATTGCCATTTCGACGTTGCCTACGATTTGCATTTGCATGTTCGGCTAAATTCCGGGCTGCCCTCAAGCGGTTCAGAACCTACGAAGAGACAAGTGCAAGCGCAAGGGACAGACTGCGTTTGCGTTTCGTTGTTGGGCTTCCGGGCTTGTTTTGTTTCCAAATAGTTTTGTGTCCGGTTGTCGTTCTGCTCAACACATTCCTTTGCTTCAAGTTGCGCTGGTTGCATTTTGTGAATTGCTGCTCGACTCAAGCGCCGCGTAAATTCACCGCGCGTCGGTGAGCGTGATTCGGTGTGTGGGAGCGAACCGCTTCGTTGGAGTTTGACGGCGCGATCTGAATGCGTTCTCATCGCCTCTCGAACAGTCGCAATCCGAAGAGTTGAAGAGTAGGGGGGAATCCAAAACATACGTCCGCTCTTTTGATTCTTTGCATTGTCTTGGGTAGAGCCTTTGGTGCCAGGTTTTGACACGCTTTCATTGTGAATGCTTTTGACTTGCGCGAATCACGCAGCCGCGTGATCCCGAGTATCCGATGTGATTTTGCAGGGAGAGGTGGATGTTGCAAGATCTTGTCAGGTGAGCAAAACATCTCAGCACTACCAGTAACCTGCGCGACCGATTCTAGAGCTCAAGTTTGGCCAGAGTCACAAAGCAGGATTTCCCCCCAGGAGGGCCATGGCGCCCTCGAGAGCAGTGGCATTGCTGCTGACCCTCGGGTGCTGCGCAGCTGAAAGGCGCGAGTTTGAGAACACCACTGGCTGGGCCAGACTCTGCGCGGAAGTCGCCGCGATCAGATCTGACCCACCGCACTTTGTTGCAAAGCTGGGCCAGATCTACGAGGCTCGACAGGTTCTAAGCCGCTTGCCCCCAGTTTTGCTTGAGTTCCCTTTTTGTGCTCAAGCCAGCAAGGTCGGCGAACCGTTTTCTGGCCACTGAGACTCGCGGAAGTGGCATGGCCCCGTTTTTCTCACAAATGCAAGGCGTTCACGTCTTGTAAAGTACAAATCTACACCTTGCCAAAATGGTTTTGTGATTTGTCAATTTGCCTGGTGGAACGTCTCTCACCCAGCGGAAGGGGCCAGATGTCCCTTCAAACTTGAAGGCACCAAGCCGTCCCGGATTCCGGCCGCCGGATTCCGGCACCGAATTCCCGGATTCCGGCCGCCGGACTCCGGATTCCGGCACCGAATTCCCGGCCGCCGGATTCCGGCCGCCGGATTCCGGCCTCCGGATTCCGGCACCGGATTCCCGGATTCCGGCCGCCGGATTCTGGTCGCCGGATTCCCGCCGCCGGATTCCCGGATTCCGGGCGCCGGATTCTGGCCACCGGATTCCCGGATTCCGGCGGCCGGATTCCGGCCTGGCGGCCGGATTCCGGCACCGGATTCCGGCCGCCGGATTCCGGCCGCCGGATTCCGGCCTCCGGATTCCGGCGCCGGATTCCCGGATTCCGGCCGCCGGATTCTGGCCGCCGGATTCCGGCCGCCGGATTCCCGGATTCCGGGCGCCGGACTCTGGCCACCGGATTCCCGGATTCCGGCGGCCGGATTCCGGCGGCCGGATTCCGGCACCGGATTCCCGGATTCCGGCCGCCGAATTCCGGCCGCCGGATTCCCGGATTCCGGCCGCCGGATTCCGGCACCGGATTTCCGGATTCCGGCCGCCGGATTCCCGGATTCCGGGCGCCGGATTCTGGCAACCGGATTCCCGGATTCCGGCCGCTGGCAACCGGATTCCCGGATTCCGGCCGCCGGATTCCAGCACCCTGCTTCCGGGCCCCAGATTCCCGAACTCCGGCCACGAGATTCCAGCCCACTAATTGGCGGATTCCGGGCACCCAATTCCAGCACCCGGCTTCCGTCCCCCAGATTCCCAGATTCCCGTGAAAAGGCAGGCAAACACGCAACCGAAACCGAAGATGTGCCAATGCTTTCCGGTCCAGCAAAAGGTGCTTCAGGTTTTGTTTCGCTCAAGTCCTGGGGTCAATAGCCTGCTGCATTTGCAGGCCCCCAGACTGGAAGAGGAAGGGAGATTGGCTGGGTGTTGGAGCAACGTACAACAGTTCAAAGAGAGACCGCGCATTCGGATGTCAAAATCGCCGAGGATCGTATGCCGCGGAAGGCTTTGTTTTGATCTGGGGCAAACAGCTTCGCAGCTGCCCGGCGACTGTTGGCAGTCAAAGCCGGGCTCATCGCTGGTCTTTCGATTGTCGCCATTGCAGTCACAAAGCCCAGAGGCTCCTGCGGGCACCGCCTCACTACAGAGAAGATCCCTCTCGGGCTCGCGCTGGCCAGTTGAGTTGCAGCCACCCGTCTGCCTCCACATGCCTCAGTTGCTCGAAGCCCGAGCCAAAGGTCATTAGACCGTTTGCAGGTTTAATGGAAAGGGCATTCGTTTCCAAAGGGCGAAAAGGGCGATTCGGTGACACCAAAGACCAGACATGATGCATGAGACGTTGGCGCCCGCAGTCTCCTGCAGGCGCTTCAGCAGTTTGCTGCTGGCCTCGCGCACGTGGTCGCTCTTGTCCTCGTTGGGCGGCTTCACGTACAAACCCCGCAGCTGGCCCACAAAGCGGATGCTTGGGAGCTTGGAAGGCCAGGCATCCGGAAACTCTAAAACCACAACGCCCTAGGCGCCGCCTTGGGCACACCCAAATCCACCTTCAACATCCTTCAACCTCCAAGGCCCGGAAGACACCTGCTCACAGCTTGGGCCCTCCCAAAGTGTTGACGTCCCGAAGTCGGAGCCGCCGCTTGCCTGGGCCGCTGTTCTTGAAACTTTGTTTACTGTGTGTAGCTGTTTCTGCTGTTTCTCTCGCGCTCTCCCCCTCTCTCTATATAAATATAAATCATGCGTATTCGCAATAAATACAAAATGTGATATAATGTGTACACATGTAACTCGGCTGTTGCACTTTTTAACGAACCAGAATCACTAAGCATATCATTTAATGAATGCACAAGATCCGATGCTAAGTGCTGTTATATGAAAAATGGGATGTTTTACAAGTTATTCCAACAAATGTTGCATTAGTTGTATATACGCCGCAACCAATATATAACCAAGCGTAATATACGGTTTGACTTTGGACCATGGAAACCTGCGGGGATCCGGTGCCGGAATCCGGCCGCCGGAATCCGGGAATCCGGTGCCGGGAGCCGGGTGGACCGGGTTGCCAAGCGCTTGGCGGACTTAGCTAAGTCTACAAACCTGGGTTATGACCTCGCTAACCTGAGCTAAAAGCCTTGTAAGTCCACTTAGCCGCTTTGCAGACTTGGCTACATAGCCTTGCTCCGGGCACTTAGCTAAGTCTGCCAGGAGGCTAGGTGGGCTTAGAGAGGTTATAACTCAGGCTAGCGCAGTTACAGCTTAGGTTGGTGGACAACCCAGCCGGACATCCAAGCGCCCGCGCAAGCCC